TTTAATCTGCCTTTCCAGTCTGGTCCATATCCAGAAGAGAAAATACGGTTAAGCTGGTATAATTTGATCTCAGTGACCTACTCCCTTACAGGCAAACACAAAACAAAGCAAAAACAGAAGAGAGAGAGAGAGAGATTTTATTCTATTTTATTTCTATTTCTTTTTTTTTTTTTTTTTTTTGAGGCGGTCTCGCTCTGTCACCCAGGCTGGAGTGCAGTGGTGCGATCTTGGCTCACTGCAAGCTCCGCCCTGGGTTCATGCTATTCTCCTGCCTCAGCCTCCCGAGTAGCTGGGACTACAGGCGTCCGCCACCACGCCCGGCTAATTTTTTGTATTTTTAGTAGAGGCGGGGTTTCACCGTGTTAGCTAAGATGGTCTCGATCTCCTGACCTCGTGATCCGTCCGCCTCAGTCTCCCAAAGTGCAGGGATTACAGGCGTGAGCTACCGGGCCTGGCTCCATATGTTTTGTGACAACCATCTCTATCCCATTTTAGAAAACCAAAGCCATATTTTCTCATTATTGATCTCCTGGTGTTTAAAAGCCATATTTTCTCATTATCGATCTCCTGGTGTTTCTCCTATTTTCTGCAAACCATTAGAGGCCTGAACTAATGCCAAGTTGTCCTGGTCCCTGAAGTTCTGAGGCAGTCTTCCTTTTAGGAGGAGAGGAAATGGAAGAAAAATAATCTGTTGAGCAATGTTCCTTTCCATTGTTAGAGATCTTTGGGTTCACACCTTAGAGTGAAAGAGGAGAGGCCATTCAAGTTGAGATTTGAGATGACAAATGTGTTGTGGAATACTGGTTTTCCAAATGAGATGCATATGAAGGGGTGGATGATATTAGAATCACAAGATAAAATCTTTGTTTCAAGATACTTTCTTTCTGTGCTACAGTTCCTTCATTACAAAATGGGAATAATAATGGTACCTATCTGATGGAATTGTTATAATATTATGTGATATAATATCATATCACAACAATTCACATAATATCCTAACAATCCTATTCTCACAGGTACCACTATTATTCCCATATACCATTATTACTCCCATTTCATATTATATGAAATGCTGTTTCATATAATATCATGAACTTGTAGATAGATTTAAAAATCCCTGTAGACTTGAAGGAAATGTTCTGACAATGTGCTTTGGGAGTCTATCTGTTCAATATTTTTATCAATGTATTTAGAACACACAGGGTATGCTCATTAAATGTGCAGTTGACCAAAAGCTGAGCTGCAGAGATAATATACCATAGAAACAGTTGAGATCCAAAAGAATCTTAAAGACTAAAAATAATGAGGTAAATCTTAGATGAAGAAATTTCAGGTTTAAATGTAAAGTTCTGTGCATTACTTTCAAACACTCCCAAACAAGTACAGGATGAGAAAAACAGATGAAAGGTAAACGTGTGAAAAAAAAACTCAAGGATTTTAGTTGACTTAATGCAAATCACCAAGTTCTCAAAAATGCAATGCAGTCTGAGTACATTTTAATGAAAACGTAATATTATACAGAGTTTAAAGATCATTAAAACATATCTAGAATATTGTACTCTGCTGGGTGCAAGTGGCTCACACCTATAATCCCAGCACTTTGGGACGCCGAGGCAGGTGGATCACCTGAGGTCAGAAGTTCGAGACCAGCTTGGCCAACATGGTGAAATCACGTCTCTACTAAAAATACAAAAATCACCAGGGTGTGGTGGCACGCCCCTGTAGTCCCAGGTACTCGGGAAGCTGAGGCAGGAGAATTGCTTGACTCTGGGAGGCAGCAGTTGCAGTGAGCCAACATCATGACATTGCACTCCAGCCTGCATGACAGGGCGAGACTCTGTCTCAAGAAAAAAAATAATAATAATAGAGTATTATACTCTGTAAACCACCTGTAAGAGGCGCATAGTCAAACCTATGCCAGTTAAGAATAACCAGGATGATAAAGGTACTTGAATCTTTGTAATATTTAAAACAAACAAACAAACAAACAAACAAAAAAACTGAAGGTAATGGCGGAAGTGAACCAGAGAGAACATGAGGACTGCTTTTGGATACTGCTACTGCCTGGACAAAAAGGATTTAATGATCAAAAGTATGAATCAGAACCAATGCATAGAAGTGGGAGAGATTTTAGCTCGATGTAAAGTATCAAGTCTTTAACAAAATGAAATAGGCAAGCTTGGGGGTTAGAAAATCTCCAAATTAGAGGCTAAATAACTTGGTACACATGTCTTAAAGGTGACAGGAAAAGGGACTGTTGAAATGACTTCCAAGAGCCCTAATCCTGAATTTGTATTAGTGTACACAGAGGGGAAAAAAAACCTAACCAGCTAATCTGTACTCCATAATTTTCTACTATGTGTTCAGCATTGTGTTGGCAAAGAGGCCAACGTGCTCTCTACCAAGACTGGGGAGACAACACTAGCACGCATCACACATAACCAGGTATAATCATGACAGTATAAAATTCCACGCTGTGCATTAGGGTCAGAGAGAATGAGCACAGAAGTGCAGAAAAGAGTCATCTTTAGAAGCGGAATAACCAAAGGCCCCATGGAGGTAGCCTGATTTGCTATAAGCACTGAACAGTGGAAGATGTAGCCAAAGGAAGAAAAAAGAGGTCCTGAAACCCAGGGGAAGAACATAAACAGGTGTAAGCACAGCCAGTTCATAGCCACAGTGCTCTGTCAGGCCTGACAACGGCAGAAGAGACAAGCTGCAAAGCAGTGGTGGAAAAGATCAGATGGTGCCCTTGAAAACCAAATCGAGGAGTTTAGACAAGGAAGGAAACAGATCTACTCAAGGTTTTCAATTATTCAAGCAGTAGAATCAAAATTGTGCTTAAGGATGATGAGTTTTGCAATAGAATAAAAGATGAACAAGAAGGGCTAAGAGATCAAAAATAGGGCAACTGGGCAAGAAGTGAGGAGGGCCTGGACTAGGATGCTATCCAGGTTGGAGAGAATGGAGGAAATACTTAACAAAAATAAAATCTGTTTAACTCAGTCACTGGCTTTACATGGGGAATGACAGAAAGACAAATCAGACAAACAGCCAAAGTTCTGTGTTTGCATAAATGGCAAACAGCAATGATACTAACACAAAGCAGCAATTGTAAGAGAACACAGAAATCTGGTTAGGGACACGTTTCATGACGACAGTTAAGACTGAAAACTGGAGATACCGTTTGTCGAGTTGCTAGCAGAGACAAGACAGCTGAAGAGAAACAGATAAGCCATCTAGCTTACTGGTGAGGTTGAGAAGAAGCATCCCAAGACTCTACTCACCCTGAGCACAGATGCAATCCTCACTGCCAGTCATGCACTCATAGAACACCCCGTCCAGGCTAGGATGGAGCAAGCTTATTTTTGCATAATGAGAAATGTCCCCTCCTTTCTCTCCATATCCTTCTTACTCTTCAAGACATACATCAAGTTTTAGTTCCATGACACCTTTTTTTTTTTTTTTTTCTGAGATGGAAGCTCACTCTGTCATCAGGATGAAGTACAGCGGTGTGATCTTGGCTCACTGCAACCTCCGTGTCCTGGGTTCAAGCGATTCTCCTGCCTCAGCCTCCTGAATAGCTGGGACTACTACCACGCCCAGCTAATTTTTGTATTTTTAGTAGAAGCGGGGTTTCACCATGTTGGCCAGGATGGTCTCAATCTCTTGACCTTGTGATCTGCCCTCCTCGGCCTCCCAAAGTGCAGGGATTACAGGCATGAGCCACTGTGCCCGGGCCTATGACACTTTTAAGGCTCCCCTGGCCCACATATGGTCTTCTTTCTGAACTTGTATTACTTCTAGTACTCATCATCAGCATAAGCGCATGTTTCAGTAGCTGTATTCACATTTTTTTTAATATTATTTTCTAGCTATTTGCCAAACCTCCATAAAGTCACCGAAAGTCCAGTATTTGCATAGTAAGCAGGACTAAATGACAGGAAGCACTCTTCTAAAACTTCACTGAATGACTTAAGCCCACAGGAACAGAAACAAATCCAACTTCATTGTGCATGTCCCAAGTAAGCAACAGGCCACTAAACTCGTAGAAGATGCTGGGATCTTGGTAAGGGCTGACTTACACACACATTTTCAAGCAGTTTTGTCTGCTTTACTAAGACCAAGATGCCCCAGCCCAGACTGACTTGCCACTCCTCCTTTCTGCTTTTACATTTTCTGAGCCTTCATCTGCACATGTCCTTTCATGAGCCTCATCTTTCCATGTGTACTATGGTTCCACCTAATCTTCACTAACTGTTCCATTCAGTCCACAAATGTGGCTAAGCTGCCTTCCTTCCCTCTTTCCACTATGCTCACTTACAAGCCAAACATAAACTCTCTCAACTTTCTCTGCTACTCTTTTTCAAGATACCAAACTCCCTGTTTTTACTCCTTTACTACACCAAAATGCTCAAAACAGCAGTCTTGGTGCCTTCTTACCCACCCTGTACTCTGGCTTGTGGCTCAAACTTGACCCATCCTCTCAGAGTCAGGTCCAATGTCATTTTCCCTAAGAATGTTACTCTGACTTCCCCTTATCTGGAAGTATTCATTTCTTCCTTCCAACTCCCTAGCATTTTATTTATACCTCTTCTCTTGGAGCACTTATTTTCCACCTAATATTATAGCTATTTGTGTTCATATTTTATCTTCCCTACCAGACAAGATGGTAGACATAATGGTGACTAAATCAGATTTATCTTTATGATCCTATTCTCAGTTCTTAGGAGAGTTCATAAATCTTGGTTGAATGAACCTATACTATATAATATAAATGGTATAGCAGAGAATACAGACCACTGAGCTGTAAAGCAGATCTAATAGTGTAACCACAGAGAGACAGACACCATCTCTGGACTTAGCATCAAAGTGAGGGGGTACAGTAAGTCTAGCTCTAACACGGTATGACTTGAATTAACATCAAATGGTATAGAAAAAGAAGAACTCAAACTCTCAATCCCAAGTTCCTAGTTTCTTTTGGTCTAAAAAACAGGTAAAAAATATATATATAGATTTTCTTTCCATTTTGTTTCTGGAGAAAAAGTATCCTAAAGGGGCTGCATAACGCAATGCTGAACAATCGGGAAGGAAAGGAAACAACATGGATCACTGCTAACCCCATCTAGTTCCTAGGCACAATCCCTGTGCGGTCACTTCCATACCATGTTAGGGTGGCTTCAGCAGCATCCTTTACCCTCATAGATGCAGGGTTTGGCTCCTTATCTCCTTTGTACTTGACCTCTTGCTCGCTGTTCCTGGACTTACTTCCTGAGATACCCAGTTCCACAATCTCCAGTACTTCCTTAAGGCAGTCCTAAAAGCAGGAAAGGCAGATCAATTTTTGTGACACATCTTTCTCATGAGAAGACAAGGAAATCCATCCACATGCTAGCAGTGGTTGTGTTTTGGTGGAAGGGCTCCAGATTCTTGCTAATTTCTTTAATGAGTATATATTAACTTCATAGTAATACAATAAACTTTACACCCCCACCCCCCAATTTCTCTTTAAAGAACTAAATTTTGGTGTTTAGAGTGTTAGATAAATAAATTCAATTCAACTTTCTTGTTAAATTACCAAAGACTGTAAATCACAAAAGCACAAACCAAAGAGATTAAATAATAATTCAGTTAAGCCTGGGATAGTGTAACCACAGAGAGACAGACAGCATCTCTGGACTTAGCTATCAAAGTGAGGGGGATGGTTTAAGACATATTATTAATATCCAAAGGAAATCTTGTCATTGACATTTTTAGGTAATTTCTGGTATTATAACTTCAGAAGCCATAATGAAAATGACTAAGATTTAATCAACAATATTATTCCTTAAACTACATAAAGGTCTCCATAAATATCGAATGATCTCTCCTTTTATTTGCACTGTAAATTCCTTATAACACCTGCTTCCCTATAAGGAAGACATTACTTGGAACAACGGTAGGGAACGTGGACTAGTTATCTGCGTCCACTTGCGAGTGAAGAAATGAGTATGGAGTAACATATTTCCATAGAAGCAACCTTTAGGACGAGCTGTGCTCTAGGTTTGCAGCCTGGCAATCATCTGCCCTTCTTTGTTTGGTGAAGGGTGACCGAAGTGCCTACTAGCTATCTCCAGGCTACCATCTTTTCAAGAAACAACAGTCTTGATAGTTCAGATAAATTAGTCAAGGTCCCATCTTTCTAAAGAATTTCTCTATGACTTAATTTGCAACCAAATGTAAGCAAAATGAACAGTTTTCAAGTTGTACCCAAAAGGACAAGTGTTTCACTGTAATCTAACAAGTATTTTCAGTTTATAAAGTGTACAATACTGTATTTAAATTTAGATATTCTCTTTCAAAAGGCATTTTGCTAGCACACATTTTTGTTTTTACTTAATGGTTTAAAATAAAATAAACTCACCTTTTCATCAAGCATATCAGGATGCTCTGTCAGCCAGACACAGAGACACTGAAAAGCTGCCACTATCATGGAGTGCAGATCCCTAGAGTGAAAAGGAGCTGGCCGACTACACTGATACACAATGTAGCTGCACACAGAGCTGATGGCTCGCTTCCGGTCTCCTGAGTCAACCATTACCTTTACCTAAGCATATTCATTTGGAGAACAAAAACAATCAGCCAGGAATTACTGTACCAATTTCAAAGCATTTGCACTGAAGTTTGACCTATTTGACAATGTGATACACTACAGGAAGCCTTGCTTTTTTATATTATGTATATATAGGAACAGATTATTTCAGATGTATTGTAATACTCCCCCCAAAATAGTGGCATTTTTCAAGTGCTGAAACAGTATTTCATTTTAGCATAGTTTTTCATGTCCTAAAACCCAAACCCATTGGGTACACCTGTCCATCATTGCCAGAGACTGAAAGAACATGGGCACATTTTTAAACCCCTAACCCAACCTCACAGTGATGCTCTAGGTTCTGCAGAAAGTTCTGTGCAGCTGCTCAGAGGCATAACTGTCATACAGTAAATTGCCCAATATTTCAAGTATACAACTGGTCAATTCTGACGTAAGTATGCACCTGTGAACTATCACCACAATCGACAGTGGATATATCTATCACTTCCAAATCTCTTCATGCACCTTTGTAATCCTTCCTCCTACTCCTCTTTGCCCCTCTCCCCAAGCAACTGTTGATCTGCTGTCACTATAGATTAGCTTACATTTTCTAGAGTTTAAAGAAATAAAATCATTTAAAAGTCATACAATATGTACCTTTTTTTGGTCTGGTTTCTTTCACTCAGCATAATTATTTTCAGATTTAGCTACACTTTTGGGTGTATCAATTGTTCATTCATTTATATTGCTGAATAGTAGTCCATTACATGGATATACCACAATTTATCTAGTTACCTATGAGCGGACATTGGGTTATTTCCAGCTTCTGGATATTATAATTACAGCTGCTATAAACATTCATGTACAAGGTATTTGTATCGATATATGTTCTCTTATCTCCTAGGAGTGGAATTATTGGGTCATATGTAGGTGTATGCTTACCTTTTTAAGGAACAGCCAAGCTGTTTTCCAAAATGGTGGTTCCATTTAACATTCCCATCAATAGTTCCTCCACATCCTCACCAACATTTGGTATGGCCAGTCTTTTATACTTCAGCCATTCTAAGAGATTTGCAGTGGTATCTCATCATGGTTTTAACTGCATTTCCCTAATAATTAATGATATTGAGTATTTTTTCATATGCTTATTTGTCATCTGTGTATCGTCTCTGATAAATCATCTATTCAAATCTTTTGCCCAATTTTTAATTGGGTTGTTTGTTGTATTATTAAGGGCTTTTGTTGTTGTGTTTTGTCTTAAAAGATTTTATTAAAAGTCTTTACAAGGCAACATCCAGACTCCAGATCCAGCTGCCAAGGAGACCCTATTACGCAGCTGGGGCTGGGTAGAGCATGGCTTCCTAATCTGTCCTGAGATGGGCATGGCGAATAGTATCTCATTTTTAGGGTCCACAGTGCTCACGTGGTCAAGCAGGGGATTCTTAAGGCCAATGTTACCACTTGGGCACAGAACGTATGAGCTTCACTCTGACGCGCAGCAAACCCTGTCTTATCAGCACATGGTAGATGGTGGTATCAATGTAGCAGTTAACAGGGTCCCTGCTATGGATCATCAGATGACACACAAAGTTCATGGATTCAGTTCTCTGTCCTTAGAGTTTCCCTGACACCATGAACTCGCAGCCCTTGCCCCACTCTCCATAATGAACCATAGCACACTACAGAAGGCTCTCCTCACAGCAAACCCTAATAGTGGTTTACAGTACAGACTCTGTCTGGGCAATGGCATAGAGAATTCTTTTAGGCCACCTTTTCAGCATAAAGCTTTACCTGCCCTCAAGGAAGCCAAACCTCTTCTGAACTACCTCGGCCAATTCACAGATCCGGTGGTTCTTTTCACGAAGAACATTCTGCATCCTGGAGGCTAAGGTAGTGATTTCTATCCTGGTTGTTACAACTTGGACCTTAACCCCAGAGCAGTCACCTTCTGCAAGCTTCTGAGTGAAGAACTCACTCAGTTTACTTCTTAAGATGCTATCAAACTTCCTCTTCTTAGAAATTTTCACTGCCATATTGCTGCTGTGCACCACCAAAAGGAAAGGCTATTATTGAGTTCTGAGAGTTCTTTATGTAATCTGAATACAAATCTTTCATCAAATATATGCTTTGTAAACATTTCCTCCCAGCCTGTGATTTGTCATCTCACTCTTTTAACAGTGTTTACTAAAGAACAGCAGTTTTAAATTTTGAAGTCCAACATACCAGTTTGTTCTTCTACAGCGTAACATCTAATAAATCTATCCCAAGGTCACAAAGATTTTCTCCTGTTTTCTTCTGGAAGTTTTATAGTTTAGTTTATACATATATATTTATGTAATAGAGACAAAGTCTCACTATGTTGCCCAGACTGATCTCATCTTGCCTCAGCCTCCCAAAGTGCTGGGATTATAGGCATGAACCACCGTGCCCAGCCAGTCTGAGTTAATTTTTGTTCACAGTGCAAGGTATGAATCAAAATTTTTTGTTTTTTGTATATGAATATCCAATTGTTTTATAGTACCTCTGGTTGAAAAGACTATCCTTTCTCCTTTGAATTACCTTTGCACCAAAAATCAGATGACCACTTATGTATGGATATACTATTTTCTTCCACCAATCCATTTGTCCACCCCTATGCCAATACCAGGCTGTTTTGATTTACTGTAGCCTTACAGTAAATCATGAAATCAGGAAGTGTTAGCCCTTTATGAATTGTTAGGCAGGTCCAGAGCAGTGCTCCATCTAGGACTAATTATTCCTTACTACTGAGTGTACTAAAGGTCACAGGAAACAGTACCTTGCTCTCAAAGACAGCAGTGCGGTCCTGTGTGTCTCACAAATGGCTGTTTTTTATTTTCTGTACCAGTAAGTGCTTCTCGCAAAATTATGATGTCCATTCTGGAGGATCTTTGAGGTAAACTCTAAGTGGTGGTAAGAACACCTTAGGTTTTATTGCTTATTTTGTTTCTTATGGCTTAGGTAAGTCACAGCCTCTGACACCTATTCCCACAACTAAAAAACGAGGATTTGAACCGTATCATCCCAGACAGTAGCACCTGTTCATCAACTTTTTGTTCACAAAATATTTTCTATATTTCCTCAATTATATATTATATGTAAGATAATCCTGCTCATCTTACTGATAAGAAAACACTTAGACGTTAGAGAAAATGCAAAGAAAGTGAAACTCTCATACATTGGGAATGTAAAATGATTCAGTCACTATGAAAAACAGTTTGGCAGTTCCTCAAAAAGTTAAACATAGGGTTACCGTATGACCCAGTAATTCTACTCCTAGGTGTACATTCAAAAGAATTGAAAACTGGTATTCAAACAAATACATGTACATACATGTTCACAGCAGCACTACCTGACAACAGCCTAAAGATTAAAACAACCCAAATGTCCATCAACTGATAAACGGATAAACTGGGGTATACACACACAATGAAATATTATCCAATCATAAAAGGGAATACAGTTGTGACACATTCTACAACATAAATGAAACTTGAAAACATTACGCTTAGTGAAAGAAACCAGACACAAAAGGCCACACATTGTATGATTCCATTTATATGAAATGTCCAGAATAGGTGGATCCATTGAGACGAAATGCAGACTGGTGGTTGTCAGAGGAGTGGGGTGGGTAGACTGAAGCAAAACTGCTTCATGGGTATGGGGCTTCCTTTAGGGATGATAAAAACATTTTAGACCTATAAGTAGAAGTTGCTCAACACTGTGAATGTGTCAAGTCACTGAATTGTTTGTTTTTAAATGGCTAATTTTATATTATACAAATTTCATCTCAAAAGAAAGAATACACTTAGAAAAGCACAAATGACCACCAAGTTCTAAGTTTCCACAAAACTGAAATAATGGCTGTGAAAGAAATCTGAAAAGTGTAGCTAAGGCTGGGTGCAGTGGCTCACACCTGTAATCCTATTACTTTGGGAGGCCAAGGCGGGTGGATCACTTGAGGTCAGAAGTTCGAGATCAGTCTGACCAACATGGTGAAACTCCATCTCTACTAAAAGTACAAAAATTAGCTAGCTGTGATGGCGTATGCCTGTAATCCCAGCTAGTCAGGAGGCTGAGGCAGGGGAATTGCTTGGAAGCAGAGGCTGCAGTGAGCTGAGTTTGCACCACTGCACTACAGCCTGGGCGACAGAGTAAGACTCTGTCTCAAAAAAAAAAAAGTGTAGCCAATTTTCACTTATCTCTGATAATGGAGGATGGCAGAGCCACAGGTAATCCCAAATGGTATACATTAGGATAACCATTTTTTACAAAATCAATATGTATTTTATTATCATATGCAAATAAATAAATGACAAGTATTGAAATGTTTCCTATAATTTAACAGTAAAAATCTCATTCATACTCTTTGAATCTATTTTAAAAAGTAAAGTTCATTTCATAGAATATCACTTGGAGGCTTAACTTTGCACACTTTGGATATAAACTATGTTTGAGTATGATCAACACTAAAATACCCACACAAGGGGTCAAGAGATACAGAAAAAAGAACCACAGCCCAAGGCTGTTGGGTTAAAATAAAAGGACTATCTTCCTCACCTTTGCAAGGCCAGAGAGGAGCTCTAAAGCTGCCAGTGATATGCTCATGTCTTGGCGCCACTGGGAGTTGAGTCTTTGGGTGACGAGATGAATGCTGCGAATCAGGAGCCCAGCAGCTGAATCTGTATTAAGAGCTAGGATATAACCCCAATGCCACATCCCACAGGGAGGGAAAACAACTAAGCATTAGTAACGAGAAGCACAGCATCCACTAGGCACAGACCACAGCAGCCACAGTGAGAACGACGGGCACCCACACAGTGCTACGTTCCCCACCCCACTGGATTGAGTGCCAAGCCCAACTACACAGTGCACAGGCATATGTGCTAGACCAGAGCAGCTTCTAGCTCCTGGTTCATGCACTTTCACACAACTGTGGGATTTGGCAGTTTCAGTGTCATTTTTATAACAACGTAAATCTTAAAGTTTCTAAATTATCAACTCATAGAGAGGTACATTTTCAAAAAGAGTGATGAAAAGGCTATCAATCATTTCCTTCAAACTTTATAGAGGAAAGAATTCTAATTTTACAGCCTCCTCAGATGCTGGGAAGTACTCTAAAGCAAGCATCTGTTGAAATTACTTACAGGGTTTAAGCCATCAAAACTCACATGCAATGCCTTTTCAAACACACTTTAACATTTAATTCTCCAGGATTACTTTAATACTTCTAAAAAAATTAAATAACCAAGCCACACGTATTTTTATTTGGGCTCCAATCTATATTTAAAAGCAATCACTAGTTAGCTAGTAGGAAATTAGGAAAAATTAAATAAGGACAAATTAAACTGAATTTATAAAGGAAGCTTTAGGGACATTATACCTGTCGATCCTATCAGAAAGAGGGCAGTGACAACAGAAAAAGGAATGATCATTAAAGAGAGACACTCATGCGACACTAACACAAATCAGGATTTCTTAGTAAAAAATAGTTTACGACATTACAAGCAGAGCTCACTAACACCAGTTCAAAATGCTAAAACAAACAATAATCACTTAAAACATTTATATTAGAACACATGCAGTAATGAAAAATTTCTTTTTTTCTTTGTTTTTGTTTTGTTTTGTTTTGAGATTGAGTCTTGCTCTGTTGCCCAGGCTGGAATACAGTGGCGCAATCTCGGCTCACGGCAACCTCTGCCTCCCGGGTTCAAGCGAGCCTCCTGCCCTGACCTCCCGAGTAACTGGGATTACAGTTGCCTGCCACCATTCCCAGCTAATTTTTGTATTTTTAGTAGAGATAGGGTTTCACAGGCTGGTCTCGAATCCCTGACCTCAGGTGATCCGCCCACCTTGGCCTCCCAAAGTGCTGGGATCACAGGCGTGAGCCACTGCGCCCAGCTAGTATTGAAAAATTTATTTAGCTTAAAGATGTTTTAGAAAGCATGAAAAATAATTTTCAACCTATAGAATGCCTAAATCTACATACACAGTGAATAAGATAATTTAAATAACTTCTTCACAAATATAATATTTAAATGTGTCAAATATCCACATAATGGCTTTATATATCTGACATGTTCAAGGATACTTGTTGCAAACTTAAACCATAGAAACATGCCTCATGAATTCATCAACTCACGAACATGGCTCATGACATGCCTCATGAACCTCATGAACATGGCTCATGAACTCTCCAGATGATTAAAAAATTAAACTCACATCTAAGAATCTAGATATCACTCCAATCTAGTTGGATAAGTGCTCACAGATTCAATACACCGTTAGCACTTGTGCAGAAAAACATAAAGGTACCCACAAACTCACAGAACCCATAAAACAACTGCCCAAGGTAGGGGACAACCTTGTATAGGATGCTTGGCTGGCAAATGTTTTAGTTGGCAGGACAAAAAATAAAAATGTTTCAGGGCTAATGAATCTAGTGAGCTATAGTAGGGGGGACACAGGTTTTAACATGAAGACACGCTTTCCTCTGGGCTGCTATCTAATACATCCCCCATCACCCTCCTTGCCACACTGCAATAACTGCCTTATTGGACATCTCTGCCACTACACTGTGAGCTCTCAGGCAGAGCCCACATCTTATTTGGTTCTCTACCACCACACATAGTAGAGAATTCAGAAATGTTTCCTGATCACCCATTACCATCAATTATAAAATCTAATATACTACCCCAAATCTAATATACTACCCAAAAGCTATACAGCTAAATTAAAAAGATTTGTTTTCTTTTTCTTAGCTTAAGACTGACATCCTCTCTACTACACTAAGGTACATAAAAAACATGAACATTAAAATTTTTAATGTTTTTGTTTTATAAATGTAAGCATTAAAGTCATTCTATTAAACTTTGAATTTCAAAAGAAACACGACTAACCATAATCTCTTAAGAGAGCTTGAGCAGGTCTCTCACTATCGGGAGTCGTGGGCTCCGTGCTTCCACCACTTGTTGAACTAATACCACTATTGGTGCGACTATGACTCTTCAGGTTATTTTCTCCACCACCCTAGTCAAATGAAAATGAATCAAGTGTTTGAGGGTTACATCACAGTTTACAAGTATAAATAAAGGTCAATCATTAAAAACCATGTTGATAAAGCAGAATGTGCCAACTGAATAGTACAAACTGATAGTAATAGATAGAAATTGACAAGGGATTAAAACCACTGTGGTATTTTTTTACATAGATACATCTACTGGAGGGTATGAAGGGTTTGACTACTACAGGTGCCCATACTGGGGTCTTCTTTGCCACTATTTACAAAGGGCTGGCCCAGCTTTTTCATCTTTACTAGACTTCACTAGATTCCAGGTCCTTAAAAAAAATACCCTAGTGCCTCCCAAGCAAAATTTCAGAACAGAAATATAAGCTTAAAAAGCATGAATAAACAAACAGCAACTTTCAAATATAGTTATATCAGAAAACACAAACAATAAAATACCAGGGTTAATATTAACTCCCATATGTATAGGGGCTAATAAACCTATCTGTTAGACTTCCCTCGTTTTTCCCCCATATGAACACAGTTCATTATACTCAGATCAGTAAATTATTATTAACCATCTACTGAGACACGAATGTAATTTCCTCAATAATAATTTGATCACCCATTCTACATCTACTCAACTTACTACATATACCCAACTTACCCCAGTATACCCTATTAACCCCTCCATTCTCTTGCCTCTACTCCAAGTATAGGGATGATATATCTTGAAGACAAAGCAGAGAGCACTGAAGTCTCTGAGAAGCATTTTTGATTTAGAAGCATTGGTGCTTTGAGGGACCTATAAACTTAGGTCTAGAAGGGTTACAAAGAATTGATGGGAAAGAAAAAGTTAAAGTAGTTGCTTGCTGGCTAGGACTTTTCCTAGGTTATTCCACCAAGTTTGCCACCACAGCAAAACAAGTAAGAGTTTAAGTAGATACTGTTCAGAAATAAAGACTGGATTTAGCTGTAGTTTCTCTCATACAGAATCTCTTGGGAACCTGATGTACAGCTGATGAGGCACTGAAAAGTAAACCTCAAAATATATGTTATTTTTAAAAAGAATCCTTCTGAGCCAATGAGCAGGATTTACAAACTAAAGGCCTTTAAAATTCACAAAGATGGACATTTTGGAATATAATTTACATAAAATCCAAAAGTGATATTCTCTGACAGATTACATGTATGCTTCTTACCATCTCCATCTGGCAACCAATGGCTTCCAAAAGTGCTGAATCTTGAACAATATTTAACATTGCCCCTGCAACAACAACAAAACAGTATTTTATATAAAATACACAAGAACGCTAAAACGGCTAAAACATTTTAAATGATTAATAGTAGAGATAAGAATATAATTTTGGTTGAGCATTCCTGAAATACCCATGAAAGTACAGTTGGCTCTTAAACAACATGAGCTTGAACTGTACATATGCAGGTGGTTTTTTTTTTTTTTTTTTAATAGAGACACGGTTTCACTGTGTTAGCCAGGATGGTCTTGATCTCCTGACCTCGTGATTCGCCCACCTTGGCCTCCCAAAGTGCTGGGATTACAGGCGTGAGTCACTGCGCCTGGCCCATATGCAGATTTCTTCAATAAACATGTTAGAAAGCTTTCTGGAGATCTGTGACAATTTGAAAAAACTCCCAAACTACATAGCCTAGAAATATTAAAAAAAAAAAAAAAAAGGCCAGGCACAGTGGCTCATGCCTATAATCCCAGCACTTTGGGAGGCCAAGGTGGGGCGGGAGGTCAAGAGTTCGAGACTAGCCTGGTCAACATGGTGGAACCCCATCTCTACTAAAAATTACAAAAATTAGCCAGGCGTGGTGGTGTGCACCTGTACTCTCAGCTACACAGGAGGCTGAGGCAGAAGAATTGCTTGAACCTGGGAGGCGGAGGCTGCAGCGAGCCGAGACTGCACCACTGCACTCCAGCTTGGACAACAGAGTCAGACTTCATCCCAAAAAGAAAAAAAAAAAAAGAGAGAGAAAGAAAAGAAATATTTAAAAAATTAGAAAAAGTTAAAATTGGCTGGACATACTAGCTCACGCCTGTAATCCTAGCACTTTGGGAGGCCGAGTCAGGAGGATCGCCTGAAGTCCTAGGAATTTGAAACCAGAGTGGGCAACAAAGCAAGACCCTGTCTCTAAAAATAAATAAAAAATAAAAAGCTAAAATTTATCAAAAAACTTACGTACACAAACACTTACAGACCATACATGATGCCATTTACAGTCCAGAGAAATGTAAACTAAGTTGCAGTATTAAATAATTGCATAAAATTAACTGTAGTACATACTGTACTACTGCAATCATTTTGTAGCCTCCTCCTGCTGTTACTGGGGTGAGCTCAAGTGTTAATGAGTATCCTGCTTAAAATACAATGTGATGTTAACCATCTCCATGTGAGTAGTTCATCTCTCTCATAGACTGAATACTGCAGTATCCATGGTTCTCATATATTTTCATCATGTTTACTGCAACACCATGAACCTTGACTAACACCATGGGACCCATAGGAAGTGCCACTAGTGATGTTGGAAGTGCTCCCAAGAAGCAGAGAAAAGTCATGACATTACAAGAAAAAGCTGAGTTGCTTGATATGTACTGTATATTGGGGTCTACAGCTGCAACTGTCCAACAGTTGAGATGATTTTTCTTATAAACAATTTATGGTATCAATAAATACAGCACTAAAAATATATTTTCTCTTCCTTATGATTTTCTTTTTTTTGAGACGGAGTCTCACTCTGTCACCCAGGCTGGAGTCCAGTGGCATGATCTCAGCATACTGCAACCTCCACCTCCCGGGTTCAAGCAAATCTCTGCCTCAGCCTCTGAGTAGCTGGGATTACATACAGGCGCCTGACACCATGCCTGGCCTTTTTTTTTTTTTTTTGGTATTTTTAGTAGAGATGGGGTTTCACCATCTTAGCCAGGCTGGTCTTGAACTCCTGACCTCATGATCCACCCAACTCCCACCGGCCTCCCACAGTGCTGGGATTATAGGCATGAGCCACCACGCCCAGCCTTTTTTTTTTTTTTTTGGAGACGAAGTTTTGTTCTTATTGCCCAGGCTGGAGTGCAATGGCATCTTAGCTCACTGTAACCTCCGCCTCCCGGGTTCAAGCATTTTCCTACCTCAGTCTCCCAAGTAGCTGAGATCACAGGCATGTGCTACCACACCCTGTTAATTTTTGTATTTTTAGTAGAGACGGGGTTTTACCATGTTGGCCAGGGCGGTCTCGTGAGCCACCCGCCTCGGCTTCCCAAAGTGCTGGGACTACACCATGTATTTCTTAATAAAATATTCTTTTCTCCAGCATACTTTATTGTAAAAATTCAGTATATATTAATAATATTCATAAAATACAAAATATATGTTAATCAACTGTTATTAGTAAGGTTTCTGGTCAATAGTAGGCTATTTTTAGGGAATCAAAAAGTTATATGTGGATCTCAACAGCTCAGGGAGTTGGCAAAAAACTCCATTTGTGAGTCTAGAAAATTGTGTCCACAATTAATGACTTTTGAGACTTATGAAACCCTAAAAAACTTTTTGCCCAGATACAGACAATTCTAGTCACCTATTAATTAGGTGTCTCTGGATAAATATGGTTCTTGGCCACTGTGACCCATCTCTTCAGGATCTCTCTCTCTGTTTTAGAGGCCTTTTAGAAACCATTTCATGGATTGTGTTCCTGTTGGAAGGACATACACCCCACCTCCTCAGGGGCATGAGGGCTTAAACAGAATGTCTGATCCCACTTTTGAACAGATAAAAATCTAAGATGCTAGGAAGAAGCCTAATTCTTGTCTTGCTAATGAAGGGAAGAAAGCAAGCCTCTAACCACTGCCAAGGTCAAAGCATTCTCAGAGATCAATTGCTCCATAAGTAGGGAGTTCTAACTGCCACCCAGGTTTGTGGGCTGGGATGGTATTTGCATTCACATGGTTCAGTGGGTACTCCTGTTATGTGGTTGAGGAAAGCCCTACTTTCCTAAGAGCTTCCACTGTCAAGGGTAGTGATCTCAATACCCAGGGTTGCACTTCAGTGGCACTGAGACACAGAAGCAACAATTGAAAATCCTTTGCTTGCAAATGTAATACATTGCTGTTTACCCAATTTGAACATCATATTAGAGGAAGAAAATAAGAATTCCTCTGTTCATCAGGGTCTCTCTGAAGATTTTCAGGGAGATAAGACTGTCTGTCCCTTAGTGCTAACAATAGATCTGTCAATCAACAAACACCTTATGATATATTTTGAAAAACATGTAAAAAGGGCGGAGTTCAAGCATTTAAACAAACAAAATAATTTCAGGTTCTGTGCTGTGAAAAAAATTATGAAATAAGATCATCTTTAGCAAAGTCTGTTAGGGAAGCTCTCTCTAAGAAGATGATGAAGAAAAGCTAAACAAAAATCTAGGGAAAGAACATCCCAGCAGGAGGGATACAAAGTAAGGTTCTGAAGAAATCATGAGCTACTATGTTCTAGAGAAAAAGGACTAGGAGGAAAGTACAGACTGACGAGACCTGTAAGTAACGGGCAGGAGGAAGAGGAAGAGGCAGGAAGAAGACGGGCAGGAGGAAGAGGAAGAGGCAGGAAGAAGAGGAAGAGGCAGGAGGAAGAGAAAGAGGCAGGAGAAAGGAGGGCAGAAAGAAAGGAGGAAAGAAGAGAGGGATGGGAAGGAGAGGCAAAGAGTGGAGAAAGGAGAGAAGGGAGAAGAGAAGAAAAGCAAAAGCACAAATAAAATGGCCAACCAAGACAACTGTAACACTTTACTTCCCTCATCTCACCGCTTTAAATTTTCTTACATTAAAAAACTAACTGTGCCTCTGATTCAGAATAAGTAGAGCTACATTAGGTTTAGGCCCCGGTCACTGACTGCCGACTCCTCATCAGGCCTGCAGTCAACAGTACTGGGTTTCACTTACAACATAATGTGTGAATACAAACCTAATATCATTTGGGTATTGTTGGGGTCCGTTTCTGTTTGCAAGGCACCTATTAATATATTCACAAGTCTCAACTTCAGGGACAGAAAAGTTATTGGTTTATCATAAGTCGAGCTGTCATCATTACTAAATTTTCCTTCCAGGACCACCTATGGAAAAAGCAAATAATATTTAACATCAGCTGTTGCAGCTCATGATGCCCATGTGGGAATAGCCAGAGTGGAGGAACAGATCAGTCTAAAGAGAAAGGCTTTCAGTCTAATATTAGCCACTGTGCTAACTCTGTCACTAACACTCAATATGTTAATAGATGTCCTCAGCTTGTAACTGCTTGAAAACTGGTAGAAAAACTGACAGAGAAGAAAAAAAAAAAACAAATCACAAGTCAACTTTGTTAATTCACTTGAAATAACTTGAATGAAATAACTTGAGTTGAAAAATAAAACATCCCCTGTTCCATTTTTAACATTCGATTTGACTTAAATTAGTACACAAAACAGAATATAGAATATAAAAAAACTTTAACAAAACATTACCTCAGATTTGACTGTGCCAAAATGATGAGGGAGGGGCAACAAAGAAAGTAGGATATTAATGGAGGATCTTCGCAATTCTGTTGGATTTACATAGCTTTTGAATTTTGAGAGCTCTCTGCCAAAAAATAAAAAGATATTAGTATTTTTGAACTAAAGTACATTAGCTACTGCCAAATACATATAATGCCAATTTTTCCAAATCCTAGCATTGTGTATATGTGTATTGTGTATTTCTAAGTTAAACTGTTACTGAATTAAACTAGAAGTTGATCGATTTCTTTATCTAAAATGTAAGGCCTACTCTACAAAGGTAAGACCCCTGTGTTGGAGTTGTTCTCACCCTTCTAGACCAGGCCAAAAACAATTCAACAAGCCCACAGACAAATCAGAACTGAAGGAGTTCAGGGATGAGGTGCGTTTGGACACACTACACTCATTAAATGTGGCCTGAGTTCTCTTGGACTATGAAGACGACTAGACAGGATACATTAGGAAACTGGGGAGGAAGCACCAACAGACCAGGCCAAATCAGACAGTTGATATAACAGCAGAGAATGATAGCTTACCTGTCAGGCAAAATGGTTTCAAGAGCTGAAATAAAGTAAGGAACCACAACATCAATCCCTTTCAAGTCACAGCAGAACAAAGGAGGAGAGTTTAGAATAACGCTGGCCAAGACAGGATGGCACACATAATCATTTATCTGCAAACCTTGAATTAAAAGCATGTAAAATCTAGGAAAGCAAGAAAAAAATTTTAAACAAACTGCTAATCAAAAGTTTTCATAATTATTATTTGCTACATAGTTATCTGAAAGTCTATTTCCACTCTTCACTATTTTTACCCTTTAAAGAAAGGGCATTATTGGAATTACTGGAATTTACTAGAATTTTACCCTTTAAAAGGTATTACTGGAATTACTGGAATTTTACCCTTTAAAGGGTATTACTGGAATTAAAACAATTCTGAATTATATACACTAAGACCCAAATCATCTTTCTTAATGAAGAAAAAAAACCATTCATGTCTATTGCACCTTCTCAAAGTTTAAGTCTTGCAACTCAAAGTTCTAGGGGCCTGCAAATAAGGCAACCAGAACAAAACAAAACAATAGGCTGCAGTACTTTTCAATAAACTGGGGGAATTGCTGAGTTAAATTCCCTAACAGAAAAATGTTGCAACATTTAGTAATTCCTAGGGAAAAAAAGTATGTTTTCATTTTTGTCCCTTCCCCATTATTTTTGGGGGGACAATGAAAGAAAGAAACCTGCATTTGATCTTCTGTATTCATCATGAAGGTCACCTGAATAAGATTCCTTTTAGGAATATGCCTGAATATACCTTAGTTTTTAACTCCACCCCCAAACTCTAATCAACTTACTAAGCATTCAATCCCCCATTACTCAAGAGCAACTACACTGTTATACTCTTCTACTGTGAGGCGAGTTTCTCTTCTCTGCAAAACTCTTCAGAAACAACTTCATCACTTATTGGTTATTGCTTAACCCATTTCAATCTCTCTCCCTAGAACTCAACTAAAACCATACTAGCAAATAACCAATGGGCTCTCGATTGCCAAATCCAAGAAACATGATTAATTCTTAACTCACTCTGCCTTTTGAAAGCATTCAACCCTTTGACTACTCCCTTGTCTCCTTGTGCTTCCCTGATTTCTATGACCATTTTCTTTCACAGGTCCTCTTACTCTACCTGCCTCTTAATGATGGTGTTCCTCAGTCTGACAACCTTAGTTCTGGAAGCTCTCTCTTTTACTAACCTGATTTTAAACACTTCTTAAGTCACTAAATATAATCAAATCATTCTAACCCACACCTCTCAACTGAACTCCAGATCTGTTAGCCAAAAGCTTACTGGATATCTGGATGTCTACTGATTACTATGGTACTTCTGTGCACAATATCTGGCACAAAGTAGGACTTAATAAATATTTGTTGACAAATATCCCATAGGCACTTCAAATTCAATCGATTCAAAACTAACCTGATCACTTGCCCTCTCATGAATCTATTGTTTTAGTTTGTCCTACTACCACCCATTCAGTCTTATGGCTCAGTCAGAAAGTTCATGGTGATAGCGTTCTCCCCTACTACTAGAGTACCATTTAGGATATCTCCCCAGCCCAGAGTTCCTGAGAAACGTGCCCCCACAACAAGGGGGTGAGCTCCAACACCCTTATGTGACCTACTTACACAACTGTAGCTGACTAGACCAGAGACAGGCAGATTAATTAGATCCTCCTTCCCAGGAGTCTATAATTAAAATTCAGAGATACTAATTGGCCCTGATGGTCACCTAGACCAAGGTCACGAAAACTGCGTACTTTTTATTTATTTATTTATTTTTGAGACAGAGTCTCACTCTGTCGCCCAGGATGGAGCGCAGTGGCACAATCTTGGCTCACTGCAACCTCTGCCTCCTGGGTTCAAGCGATTCTTCTGCCTCAGTTTCCTGAGTAGCTGGGACTACAGGGGAGTGCCACCATGCCTGGCTAATGAAAACTGGGAACTCAGAAGCACACTACAATATGAGAAAATGATCTGCAGGGATGAGAAGAATGAAGCAGTTCTGGGAGACCAGGAAGACAGAGAGAGAGGAATAAAGTTGTTTCGGTCCTTGAGTTTCTGCTCTTCATGAGGTCATACTGCATTTTCTGACCTTAGAATTTAATAAATATAACTAGCTTCTCACAACTTACTCTCCTTTTACTTAAGTCAGATTGAGAAGGTTTCTGTTGCTTAAAGCCAAGTGCCTATAGTTAAGATAACCCTGCCTAGTTGCCTGTATATACCATTCTTTTTCATATTCATAAAATTCTGTACTTAGTTCCCTCTGATAGGGTCAGTTTAATTCTATCTCCTGAGAACCTAACAAGTATGCAGGTATCTAAATACTCTGTTGATATTAACCTCACTTCTGCACCTGTGTGAATGATCAGTAAAGGAAGGCAAAACAGCGTCAAGATGAACGGGAGGCCATTATGAGTTAGTTTAGGAGAAAAGTGACAAAGTCTAAAGTATAATGGTGGATACAGTGAAAAGAGCAATCAGAAAGAGGGTTAAGGAGCAGAAAGGCAGGAGTTGGCTGATCAACTAAAGATACAGAAGAAGAGGATTCTAAAATGATTCTTCGTTTCTGCCCTAAGCAACTGAATGGATGGCAGAGGCATTAACAAAGATGGCTGAAGCCATAGATTTGGAGAAGATGACCCTAACCAACTTCCTAACATAGTCTTAACACTAACCATCCTTTAAAAGTCCAGCATAATCATTCAATCCTCCATAACTCTTTCCTGAATCCCCTGGAGTAAATAAATGTGCACTGCTTCTTCCCCTGAATGCACATACCACATTATCTGTACCTCTCCCATCAACATCCTATTCCTGTTGATCATTGTCACGTGTACACATGGCTTTGTCTGTGGCTCTGCCCAGAAAATAAGCTCCTTGGAAGCAGGATTTACAGCTGACTTATTTCTGGACTGCCTACATGCGAATACTGTGCTAAAAATTTGTTAACAAATTATTGTGGTCCTTCGAAATCTCTCCATATTAAAAAGACTCAAATAAGATGACATAAATAGCACTTCTAAAACAAAAAGGGTCTTAAGGGTCTTTACCAAATCAGATGAGACAGGTAAAATGAAAGATTTCAGGCAAATGTCGATCACTTACAGACATCTGTAGGTATTTCTGACCAACATTCACTCATCGGTTCAGTCGGCCAAGCAACGCTACAATGGCTTCACTATCAAAACTATATAAATGAAAAAACAAACAAAAATTCCAAGACCTGGATAAATAAGCTGGCAGAATCTCTTCTCCAGTCTTCTTGCTACAAAAAATCCTACACAGTGTCCCACAAGCCTCAGCTCTTCCTGCTTCATAGTTATCAGGAAATTCACTTGCATCAAACATAGGATTGGAAACCATGGTGTCTGTGGACATTTGTGACCCTTTCCGTCGAAACTCCATGCTAGCTTGTGTTGTAATGGCTGGGGAGAGAAAAGGAAGGTTTTATTATATTTGCAATATGCCAAGTAGGCTCATGGGACCCTGGACACAAAGATCAAATGTTGGTGTCATTAAATAGCTACTTGAATCCAATAAGTGCTTTTGTTTAGCAACTATGTCTTAATGTTTTTAAAAAGGGCTCTCTGAAATCTTCTTTGAAAATAGGTTACAATTAATTTACAGTGGCATTGTCAGTTTAACAGATTGTACAAGAAGCATTTTTCAACTGAATTTTTGATCAGCAGAGTACATTTGTATATATCTGTATCCACATACAGATATATAATACAGAATTTGGCTTTTCTATTATTTCTTTTCTGTTTTGTCTTCCCCCTACACAATGATGCTTAAACGTTAAGAAAAATAGCTACTGCAATTTACACATTACCCTAGATGGACATCCTAATTAAATGGGCAACCCTATACCAGTCTGTATACTTTAGGGAGAGGGCAAAGTAAGGATGAGAAGTGGGCAGGGAGAAAAAGAGAGCATTCCCACAACCCACCCAACTCCAAAACACACACCAAAGAATCGCTCGACCAAGCAAAATGAGAATGAATTTTAACAACCACAGACAGCAGCTAACTTGAGGCTGATAAATCAGAAAATTGGATTGATAAAAAAGATTATCATGGTCATTCGTTATCACTGAAACAGAAGCCCTTTGAAAGTTGCTTTTATTTTTAACAAAAGATTTCACAGTGTATTGAAAATCACTCTGAAATCTTTTATTACTCTACATGAAATGCTTAAATTATTTTATAATAGATTTAATAGAATGCAGAGTCAAGCATAAATCTTTATGCAACTTCCCATGAGCCATTTTTAGTCCTGAATAAGCTATCCAGCAATAATACATTTGAAAAACACTACATGCAGAATGCATACAAATCAAACACTAAATCTGTATAAAAATAAGCTTAAAGCTTTAAAAAAAAAAAAAAAAAAAAAAAAGCCAAAACACAGTTAGTGCAAAGTCCTGGAATTCATGACATGACCAGACTAGTATACAGAAATAATGGGACTGATTCAGGCAGATTAATTTGCTTTTGCCAACAATCTTCCCCATTCAAAACACAGAAAAGTATTTTTCTTCCCAAGTGCAAGAACTACAAGAGACAATGACAATCAAATTTTTAATGGAATTATGAAAAAAATAAAAACATGACTGCAATTAAGGAGAAGCTTCTGGTTCCTACTTACAAGATTTATAAGAAAGAAGAATTTGGATAAAAGATGCTGCAAGATAATAGAAATAAATGGAAACAAATCAAAGGACAGTAGTAATTATAAAATACTTTAAAGATGGTGAAATTTTACAATAAATTAAGAAGCTTTTTAGCTTTTTAAAAGTTAAATTAAAAGCTTTACGATACCACAAGCTAGTTCAAAAACACAGGAAATTGTGCATTCAGGTCCAAAATTATGATTTTTGTATCATGCAAAACAATGAACGAAGAAAATTACACAACTACAAAGAATTGAGGTTTTGAAGTGCCCATAACGTGCATTAAAATTTTAGTTCATTAACCCTTCCCAGCTCAATGTTACTTTTACAAAGCACAGTGTACTGTCATGTAAATCTAAAGCTAACCAGTTCAAAGAAGCAAACACTTTAAGTTAGAGGTGAACTGCATGGCAGAATTCCTTGATGGCAGCCAGTACTTAAAAACAGTTAATATACCCAAGCCTCCCACCAGACTTGAGACCTCAAGATTGGCACCTAGCATTCTAACCCCTTTAACTATTTGGATACCTCATATCTCCTGGGTAATGTAACAGCCTTTATCATCTCTGAACACAATGAGGAGAAAAGGAGCTTCTATCCTCTCCCCAGCAAGGAAAAATTTTAAAGTAAGATGTTGTTCATATATGATTTGAAGTCTGGTTTTTATCTTCTGGTGCAAGAGGGTGAGCAAAGCTGTTACAAACTCCCTGGAGAGCAAAAAGATCTATAAGTTCCCTTTAAGCAAGCCCACCAACCAAGAAGCAGGTTGAGCCATTCTAGATTCATGGATTTCAGTGTCAACAGCTCTATACCCAAAAGTTACATTGTAAGAATTACATCTTAACAAAAATAAAAAAGAAAAACAGGACTGATTCATTCTAGAAAATGCAAATTAATAAATATAAACATGGTACAGAAAACTCAAAATATAAGGTACACGAACATAAAGACAAGCATAACCCAAAAGTCGTCTTTTAAAAGTTTTCACTTATTGTAAGTAAGCACATTTACCTATCCCAGAAGCACTACTTTCAAACTGTGAATAAAATTATAATATGAAAATGGCAGAATATAAAGTGTCTGAATTTGAACAAAATAAAGCAAGCAAAGATATCCCTAAACTCAAACATGGCATTCTCAAATTATATTCCTAGAAATCTTTATATTCACAGTTTTTCTAAATTAAAGATTTGTAATAACATTCTAAATAATTACATGTGTATAATGTTCACAGACATAGACCCTAGTTCTGAGATGATAATAATAATAGCTAAGAATTATAATAACAGCTAAGAAACCATTTCTAAGAGAAAGCAGAGACCCTTCTGGCCACTGTATTAGTTTTATCCTTGGAATTAACAGTCTCCCTAGAGATACATCAACTAATGTAAGTAGACGTCTTTTTGTCTTATTTCCAACCCCAGCAGAAGAGTGCTTTCTTACCAAACAACCAATACACTCATTAATGCATATATCACAGTACCTTGCCCATAGTAATAACAGCTCAATAAATGTCAGCCATTGTCATTTTTTAGCTAAGACATATTATAAATATTCAAAACACTGCACTACCCCACCCATCCATCCTGCACCCTATGCCAAATATAATGGTTAAGATGACAAAAAAAAAAACACCAGCTCTTATTTAGACAGTTTCCTTTTTATAATAAAATCTAAATGAAGATATCAGGGTTGAGTTATTAATTCTCCACCAATCAATCTTATTAAGTTAAAGAGCAAGTAGTATTTTTGAAAGTGTGCCCTTGAAATAAAGTTCTCTAGACTACAAATCTGAGAGGTTACAGTATAGTGTGAAGCAAAAATTTTCTGATGTTTACATGTACTAATGAGTGAATGGCTGTCAAAATTGAAGAAAACACTTCCTGCAATGTAAATTTCCAGTTCGAATTTTTAATTCTTTATATAAATTGTATTATCCTGGCTGACATGAAGGGAACTTCCAGGTCACCTACTGAAAGAAATCTGATTCAACAAAATGTGGCTAACCTTAAGTATGTCTAAGAAAACCAGACAAAAGGCCAAACCTCATAGAACATACATAAAAAGAACAGGGAGGAAATCTTCTAAAGTTCTGTTACTTCAGCTGGAAGGGGTTAAGCACAAGACATCGCTTGATCAGAAACAGAGAGCTTTTTAAGATACATATTAATCTTGCAGGTAGGAAAGACTAAAAAGAAAAAGAAAAAGGAAAAGGAAAAAAGAGGTAACATATTTCTTGAGTAATATTTACCAGTCATGCTGCTGTCTCTGTTTATCCCATTATGAAGTTTACAGTGAACAAATGCTGCATCAAATAACCACGATCCAAAGAGATTCAAGATGCTGTTAACCTTTGGTCTCCGAGGGGCAGGCAGTGGCCGGGGTTCTGAACTAGTCTGATTTGGACTTGACAGAGGAGAGGTGGAAGACGTCTGGTGCTGAACTTTAGAGGCATGAGCAGTACTAACCTATTAGACGAACACAGGAACACACCCATACCAATGAAAAGTTTGAGAAAACAGTAAGACTTTATAAAAAGAATGGCAGATTAAAAAGCCAACCTTATATAGCTTAACAATGGTGATATAAACTCTTACTGTGCTTGTCTTCATGGTGGCCTTATTCACAGTAACAGCCCGGTGCCTCCGGTTATGTGGTGGGGTGGTATTGACAGCAGCACTTTGAGGCATACTTAATCTATTCACGGGTGTTGGGGGAGCACTGTCTGATCGGGGTCTAGAAATACCTTAAAAAAAAAAAAAGGCAAATGAAATTATTCTTCATAGGTCAAAATATGTGATCAGAAAATTTTTCCCAGCAACCTAGTGAAGGCTTGGGACACATAGACTATAGCAGAGATTGCTAGTTGCCTCTCAGTATCTATTCACTGTTTCTTCCTGAGTAACAGAACACAAACTTTAGCTGGACATGGCTACCCAGAAAAAAAATGACTCAATTTTCAAGCTCCCTTTGCACCTAGATGTGGCCATATTTTGACCATAAAGAAGTTGGTGACTGTTGGGTAGGTCTTCTAAGAGATCTTCTTAAAGGACCAATTATATGCAGACTCTCCTTCCTAATTCCTGGACAGGATGTTTGGAACTCACTCAACCATCATGGCCCATGAGGCACTGTGCAAAGAATGGAGAGGGCCTTGGATCCCTGCTGGTGATGGAACCATTATACTGGCCCTGTACAGCCTAGCCCTAGATTTATCATATGTGAAAATAAGCTATCTTGTTTGTATTAGGATTTTTGGTTGTTAAGTTGCAGCCAAACTTAATCAGAGCTAACATATTAACTGTACGTTAATAAGCACACATAAATATTTTAGAAAATGACAGATATTATAAATCACTGCCTTTCAACAGGTTAAAAATTTGACTTTTCATATATCTAAAATAAATGTGAAAAACAGCTTAAAAGAATGGCTCACTAAAGGTATAATTTTGCTTTTTAGAGATATACACGAGAATGGTCCCAAATGCATTTTCATCTGCATTTTCTTGGATAGCTAGTATGCACGAACACTCTTTTCTTTTGCAATCATTTACTCTTATCCTTTGTCCATTTATCTACTAGCCTAATTCTTGTTCTTAGCACCTTGTTTGATGTATCAGGTGGGTGCAAAAGTAATTGCAGTTTTGGCCACATTAAATGGCAAAAACTGCAATTACTTTTGCACCAACCTAAATATGTACATAAAAACGATAACCCTCTGGCTATTTTATTTGTTGCAAATAATTTTTCTTCGCTTGTTATTTGTCATCAAATCTGTTCATCTTTTCCTTTGGATGTTTTCTAATAACTCCTAGGGTTAGCCTCTAGAGTTATCTAAATGAAGCTCTTCATATATCCAGCAACATACACAAAATTCACCTAAGAATGCATCCACCAGACAGCTGATTCCACGCATGGCACGAAAAAATATTTGAGGCAGATGTTTAAGGCAGGGATACTGATTCAATTCTTGCGGCATTCCGCTCACATTCAAGAACTGTTCCTGAAATTTGGGAGTAGAGCTTATAATAGCTGGGTTACTCAAATCCACAGGATTACTATTAAAAGAGAGAAAAGAATTAATCACAAATTTAGAAATTTCTATAGCAATAAAATACATGTAATCTAATTTAAGAACAGGACTGTTTGTGCCTATTTCTTTGATTCAGAGAAGAGACTGATTTGTATTTAATGAGTTAGTGATTCAAATATCATCACTTCTTTACCGAAGATCTGCAGAGTGGTTACATGAACATTGCCTATTCAGAGCAGGAGAATCAAAGTAAGACTAGAAAAAGTTTTAATTTTTTAAGAGTATACATAGACACTTTTTCCAATATGTTTAGAATTAAGCAATAGAAGATGGACATGGTGGCACGTGCCTATGGTCCCAGCTACTCGGAAGGCTGAGGCAGATCACTTGAGCCCAGGATTTCAAGGCCGAGGCTGCAGTGAGCTATGATCATGCCAATGCACTCCAGCCTGAGCAACACAGCAACACGCCATCTCAGAAAAAAAAAAAAAAAAAAAAGAAAGAAAGAAAAAAAAATTAAGCAATGGAATGGTAAAGCTATGTCAACAAGAACTCCAAGGAGAAAATTTTACTTTAATATTAACATTTCCAATTAAAAAAAAAAAAACCTATATTTGAAAATCAGGATTAGTGTTATAGTTTTATGCTGTGTTCATGTGTATCTACTAAAGCCATACATTTCAAAACAATGTATTTGTGTTTAATTACATTTTATGTACAGTTGGAAATATTTCCATTAAAAACAGATTACAATTTTTCACTCAAATGGTTTGCTTAGCATTCCATTAAGAAGCCTCTCCAATTCAAAGTAATACTGATAATCTAAAGCCGGTGAACAGAATTTCCACTACCTACAAGGCAAAAGAACTAGCTGAGAAATAGGAATCAGTGATCTATACATGCTCTGCCTTTGAAAACCTCTTTTTCCACCCACCAAAAGAATTTCAAGTAACTGTAATTGGGGAAAGGGGAATGTGTATGCATATAAGAAAAATGGGCTTCCAAGCATACTGTTTCCACAGAACTGTACTAGTCCATCAAGTAAGACAGAGGAGGGGAGATTCGTCTCTACCAGCAGTGCCTGCTGGGGGCTGTAGTTCAACTATTCAGAAATTAGAAGAACAAGGAGTAAAGCTGAAATGGAACTACACCTAAGTCCAGCAGAGCTTGGTTAAATTCATGTCTACGATACATCAAAAACTGGAGAGAGAAAGGTTCATACCAGTTTCTCCAAAGGTAAACCAGGAATGATTTTATTGGCACCCAAATATTTAGAGAACAGATTCAAGAAAGTAAGTAAAACTTGAAATGAGAATGGGTAACAAAGAATACGAAAAACTAAAAGAAACTGCATTCCAGCAGTTCCAAATGCCCTGTGTACCTGATGCATTTGGGGAACCTGTTAAAAATCCAGATTTCACCTAAATGTACTGAAACAATCTCCAGATGGGGCCTAAAGGGCAGGTGGGCATACACAAGTCCAAAGACAAGCATTTGAGAACACTATGGGAAACAAAAATGAAAAATATTTTTTTGTTTTCCTGGAAAAAGATAAATCACTAACATACAACACAAAATATTGATGCCTATCTCCCCATCATATACAACCTTCATCCTAGGAAATTTGCCAACAATCACAAATAATCACAATCATAAATAATCCTCACGACCTGCCACTCACAGCTTATTTAAGAAAGGAGGTAAAATTGTCCTAAAGGAGGTATCCAGATGTCTGCCATAGACCTAATTAATGAAGATAATTTGATCCAATTTTCCTTTTGGAGAAACTAAGCAAAGGGAAAGCCCCCATGAACTGAAAGGACAAGCACTGAAGTCAAGCAGTATCACAGCTATTTACACGACTGGGCAGTTATCAAGAGACTGCATGTCCCCCTCTCAAAGGCAGGAGGGAACAGGGACTCAGGAGGAAGCCTGCTGGAGAAAGCGAACAATGCGCATGCACAAGAGAATCAAAAGAGCAAAGAGAAGCAAATGACAGTGATTTGTCCGGAGGCTGCCTTGATTCCTCCCCAACATGAGAAAGGGTTGCTCGCTGCTTCATAGCGCCTGGTAAGACTGCTCTGTTTTCACATAATCTCTTTTTCTCACCTGCATTTGCTTAAGTAGGCTCCTATTTTTGCCACTGAAAATAACTCTAACTAAAGTACCACAGTCAGCTCAAGAAGAATATCTAAGAACTACCTCTAAAAAAGACTCTAGAACTAGAGTTTTGCTGTTCATTTATTTCAAACTTTTAAGGAACATAAAACTTTGACACAACAGACCATAAAAAAGGATAGGAAGTTTTCCTATCCAATTCATCAAAAGATAGAACTACAGACAATTCAGAAAAACACTAAAAGAAAAGCATTCCATAACCAAGCAAAACTTTTCTTTCAGGAATGATAGATGGTTCAACATTGGGAAATTAATTAATATTTCACATCAACAGATGAAAGAAGAAAAACCACTTAATTGTTTAAATGGATCCAAAAATATTATTTGAAACAATTCAGTACTACTCCTGACTTTATTTATATTTTAATTTTATTTATTTTTTGAGACAGTCTTGCTCTGTTGCCCAGGCTACAGTGCAGTGTGTATGATCTTGGCTCACTGCAAATCTGCCTCCCAGGTTCAAGCAATTCTTGTTCCTCAGCCTCCTGAGTAGCTAGGATTACAGGTGCACCACTATACTTGACTAATTTGTTTTTTGCTTTTTTTTTTTTTTTTGGAGATGGAGTCTTGCTCTGTCGCCCGGGCTGGAGTGCAACCTCTGCTTCCCGGTTCAAGTGATTCTCCTGCCTCAGCCTCCCAAGTAGCAGGGATTACAGGCATGCGCCACCACACCCAGCTAATTTTTGTATTTTTAGTAGAGATAGGGTTTCACCAAGTTGGCCAGGCTGGTCTCGAACTCCTGACCTCAAGGGATCCGCCCACCTCGGCCTCCCGAAGTGCTGGGATTACAGGCGTGAGCAACCATGCGCAGCCCGTTTTTTGTATTTTTAGTAGAGATGGGTTTCACCATGTTGCCCAGGCTGGTCTCGAACTCCTAAGCTTGCCACCCGCATTGGCCTCCGAAAGGGCTATTATTACAGGCGTGAGTCACCATGCCCAGCCTTTATTTTCAAAAATTTTTAATTACCTCCCAGCACTTTGGGAGGCCGAGGTAGGCGGATCACGAGGTCAGGAGATTGAGACCATCCTGGCTAACACAGTGAAACCCCGTCTCTACTAAAAAATACAAAAAATTAGCTGAGCATGGTGGCGGGCGCCTGTAGTCCCAGCTACTCAGGAGGCTGAGGCAGGAGAATGGCGTGTATCCGGGAGGCGCAGCTTGCAGTGAGCAGAGATCGCACCATTGCACTCCAGCCTGGGCAACAAAGCGAGACTCTATCTCAAAAAAAAAAATTAAAAAATAAATAAATAAAATTTTTGATTGTTTAGGAAAGCAGGAGCATAAAAAAGAACATCTAGCATCAACAACCAACATCCTACTCAAAATTCCATATATTAGAGGCATTCTAAGAAAATCAGAACTAAAAAAGGTGCCAAAATAGTATCACTTTAATTCAACAGTGTTCTAGAAGTTCTGATGGATGCAGTAAAATAATATACAGAAATAACTGTAATAATAGCAACTTTCAAGGACCTACCATGCACTAGGCATCATACCGTTTTACATGCTTTTTCTTCTTCAATTCTTATAAAGAGATGGTACAATCATTATTCCCATTATGTAGATTAAAAAGAAACTGAGGCACAGGGAGAATAAATTGTTCAAGTTCACAAAGAAAAAACTAGCAGAATTTGAACTCAAGTCCAAGTCTTACTGCATCCAAAGTATTTTTAATTAGTCACCAAAACAAGTATGAATTATTAGAAAAGAGACACTTCTTATTTGCAGGTATGTGTCCATATCTCAGAAGAATCAGTGAAATACTCAGAGCTCTTTTAAATGCCATATATAATATACAAAATAACATAAAGTAAAAAATGTTCTTTACAGCAGTAATAACCATCTAGAAGACAGAATAGCAGAAAAGAGTTAGCTTTTCACAGCATCAGCAACAAATACCTAGAAATAATGGTAAAGAAAATATTAAAAATATTTGTGAAGAAAACTGTAAAACATTTCAATAAGATATGCAAAATTCTGAAAAAAGAAAAAGACATGCTTTTAGAAAGGCGGACTCAATATCAGATATCAGCGTTTCCTAAATATAAATACAGGCTTAATACCAGTCTCATCTTTGGCAGAGTCTGGCTAGCTGTTCACAACTTTCTTTTATTCTCTGTTCTCTTGCAATTAAGTGTGATGTGTGTCTGAGTTCTGGCTAATGGAATATGAGTAACAGTGATTTATATTACTTCAAGGCCTGACACATAAAACCCTCCCACAAAATTTTCCTTGCTCTCTGTTCCCCATCTGCTAGCCAGATACGAAACTCCTGCTTATAACACTGAGATCCTAATGGAGTCATCTGTTGAAGATGAAAGAGCCTCTGCCAGCTGGGTCCCCGAATGACTATGTGAACAGAGCCAGTCCTGATTCCAGACTTTATAAAAGATTTTCAGGTTCATTTGCTAAAGCAGAACATATTCCTTACCCTAATTAATACACAATCCAAACCCCAGAAGATTTCATTGAGGTTTTTCCTTCTGTTTGCTTATGTTTTGTAACTTGAAAAATTGGTTCTAAAATTGATCTGAAATGTTAAACAGGCAAGAAGAAACAAATACTCTAAGAGAAGGAAAAAGAGAAAAAGACATTAAACCTACTAAATATCAATAATATTATGAAGTTAAAATAATTAAGAGTGTGACTCTGACATAAAAATAAATGAAGAAATTAATGAAGTAATATGTGAACTAAAGATGAATTCCAGGCCGGGCACGGTGGCTCGATGCCTGCAATCCTAGCACTCTGGAAGGCTGAAGCGGGTGGACTGCTTAAGTCTAGGAGTTTGAGACCAGACTGGGCAACGTAGGAAGACCCTATCTCTGCAAATTACGTGCGTGCATGCGTGTGTGTGTGTGTGTATATATATATAAAGACAGATCCTGAGGTATATAAAAAAACTTACTATTACAAAGGAAACAACATTGGAAGAAATCATAGGTGACTATCTGATCAAAGAACACAAAAGAAATAGAAAATGATCACAGAAAGACATTTAAAAACTAAGATCAGTGACAGAAAAACACAAACTAGAACTACAAAATGGGAAGAAATGATACAAAATGATTAACATACCTAACTTACAAAAAGGTCATAAAGAGTAATTCAGAATCACTGATACACAAATAGAAAAATTAGGCTAGTCAAACCAGAAAGAGAAGAGATGCAAGGAAAAACTTTAAGAATCAGTTTACAACAGAATAAATGTCCCACAGAGCACACAGGTGCGGCTGGAAGAGGGACAAGTAAAAAGTAATGAAGCTGAACTGAAAAGAATTACTATATAAAAGACAGGGACAGCAGGATGTAGCAGTATACTCCTCTGCAAAATTTTAGGGTGTATCTCCCACTGAAACTTTAAACAGGCGCTTGGAGGAGAGCTCTGAGAGGCAGATTGACCAGTCAGTGCTTGACACAGAGAGGAGCAAAGCAACTTCCAGTCCCCAAAGAATGTGACAAAATCCCAAGAGAAAGATCATCAGCCAGGCTGCAGCAACAGGCAAGAGAACAAGTGCGGCATCTACCACAGGGAACACGTTCCTAGAGAGTGTAAACCAAGAGCGGCTGAGGACAGCCTAACCCTGCTGGGACAGGGAGAGCAGGAGGCACAGGATAGAAACGTGCTTGTTGTCCAACAGGGTTCCATTTGATGAATGGTGCTTAGCGTCCACATTCTGAATTCAAACAAGAGACTTACAGCATGGTTCCTGCCCTAAGACACTTTGATGAATGGTGCTTAGCGTCCACATTCTGAATTCAGACAAGAGACTTACAGTATGGTTCCTGCCCTAAGACACTTACTGGGTAAATAGCACATGAAATAATAAAATAACAATACCTTAGCATGTGTAAAAAGCGAAACCATGTCTGTGCAACACACTCATTATCCATTTCTGGAGGGATCAGACTGGCATCTTCATCGGGAACTTTAAATGGAGGAAATGAAGGCCCATATGTAAAGCGTAGCAATCTAGAAAATAAATGCACACCACTGAGTCCATTTCTTAACAGATTGAAAAATACACTCAAGCACAGAAACATGAAAGAAAATAGATGAAACGTGTGTACCTCACATAAGTGAACAAGACATATGGAAACTCTCATTCATAAAACAGACAAACTGAAAGAGGATTTCTAGTTTTTTATGTTTGGGATGATGAATATGCTAATTACTCTGATCAATCACTATACATTTTTAATACATACATCAAAACATCACTATGTAATCCAAAAATATGTACAACTATTATGTGTTCATTTAAAAAAAAATTTCACATTGAAAACAAACTGGAGACTTCCAAGATGATTTCTAATGGAAAGAAGCTGGGAAGAAGAGAGTATATGCTGGTGTATATATTTTATATGTAATACACATGTGTTATTATTAGCATCTTCTTTACAAGATACACGAGTTTTTGGGTAAAATAAACAAGTATACCAAAAAAAGAATGTTTTAAATTATTTAAGATACTTAAAGTATTTACAGATAATAATAAATTTAATAATTTAAGATACTAATTTATAGAAAATTATTTAAGATACTTAAATTAATTATAAAATAATTATTATTAAAATACTGCTACTTCCTGCTGTCCTTGTCTTTTATATAGTAATTCTTTTCAGTTCAGCTTCATCACTTTTTACTTGTCCCTCTTCCAGCCCCATTCGTGTGCTCTGTGGGACATTTATTCTGTTGTAAACTGATTCTTAAAGTTTTTCCTTGCATCTCTTCTGTTTCTGGTTTGACTAGCCTAATTCTTCCATTTGTGTATCAGTGATTCTGAATTATTATTTATGACCTTTTTATAAGTTAGGTATGTTAATCATTTTGTATCATTTCTTCCCATTTTGTAGTTCTAGTTTGTGTTTTTCAGCTGTCAGTGATCTTAGTTTTTAACTGTCTTTCTGTGACATACATTTATATATATGTTTCACATGTATACGTTACATATTACTTATAAATCATAGCTATTTATATACAATTATACCTATATAATTATATAATCATACAATATTTAAATTTTTTAAAAGATTCATCTCACTGCAAATTTCTGCAATATAACTAAGTTATAATAGTTTTACATGAAGTTTAGAATTTCTGATATACCATAAAAATAACTCAACCACTCAATTACTTAATAGTAATATTCTAAATGTATTAAAACTATTCAAAGCCCTTTAACTCAATTATTCTCTATCTAAAGATAATGTAATCAGAATACATATAAAGACTATGTATAAAGCATTCATATCACCAATATTTTTTAAATAAAATAATGGGAACAACATAAATATCAAAACAGCAGGGGAAGATGGCAGGATTGCTTGAGGTCAGGAGTTTGAGTCTGCAAAGAGCCATGACTGCACCACTGCACTCCACCCTGGGCAACAGAGCAAGACCATATTTCAAAAAAAAAGAAAAGAAAAAAAAACAACAACGCTGGCACAGTGGCTCATGCCTGCAATCCCAGCACTCTGGGAGGCCAAGTCTAGTGGATCACTTGAGTCCAGGGGCTTGAGGCCTGCTTGACCAATATGCAAAACCTCATCTTTACAAAAAATACAAAAATTATCTGGGCATGGTGGCATGCACCTGTAGCTCCCAGCTGCCCCGGGAGGCTGAAGTGAGAGGATAGCTTGAGCCTGGGGAGGTTGAGGCTGCTATGAGTCCTGCTCACACCACTGCACTCCAGCCTGGGCAACAGAGCAAGACCTTGCCTCAAAAAAAAAAAAAAAAAACAACAACAATAACAAGGCAATAATTAAATGAATTATATTCCAATTACATAATAGAAAACTACAAAACCATTAAAAATATGATCTCAACAGCTATTTAATGAGAAAAAGTATGTGTAACTAAAAGTGACAAGAATCAGACATCAAATGAAACAAGCAGACAATATTATATAGAATAATTTCAAACTGGTATTTTTAAAAAGGGAACTAAATGGAAAAAATACATTAAAACGTTAACATGGGTTGGCTCTAAACGATAGGTATTTGTCCCTACATTTTCCAAATTTTCTATTATAAGCATGTAATGTTATCACAATCAAGATAAAAGCATTACTTAAAAACAGATTCATAATTTTTTTAAAGCAATTGTCCTGCCTCAGCCTCCCAAAGTGCTGGGATTACAGATGTGAGCCACCACTCATGGCTAGATTCATAATATTGATGTTGTCTGTGATATATGAGAATCAACAAAATATTCCAAAGTTTCATTTTTTAGTTTAAATAATAATAAAGATCTAAACATTTTATTAACTCAGAAAAAGAGAAGTCTACCTTCTGATACATAATACTACCTACAAAGTTTTTGTTCCTGTCACCCCTTCTCTTTGCCCCCAGTCAAACTTGAATGAGATCAAGACTCTAGATCTAACTACCAGTTTACAGGAAATACAGCGGGGCAGAGGAATATGTTAAATTAACAATGTGGACGTAACTGGAAAAATCCAGAATGTGAAACACTCTGTAAGACAACCCAGTTTCTTCAACAAAAAAAATTGCAAAGAAAAATAAAGCAGAAACCTAGGCCTGGTGTGGTGGCTCAGGCCTGTAATACCAGCACTTTGGGAGGCCAAGGCAAGAGGACTGCTTGAGCCCAGGAGTTCAAGGCCAGCCTGGACAACATGGAGGAATCCCATTGTGATCAGAAATATAAAAATTAGCCAAGCATGGTGGTGCACGCCTGCAGTCCCAGCTACTCAGGTGGCTGAAGCAGGAGGATCACTTGAGCCTAGGAGATTAAGGCTGCAGTAAGCTGTGATTGCACCATTGCATTCCAGCCTGGGTGACAGAGTAAGAAACTGTCAAAAAAAGAGAAAGAAAGACAGCAGAAACCTATACAGTTGTCCTTCAGTATTATGGGGGATTGATGCAGGACACCCCTCAGATGCCAAAATCCATGGATGCTCAAGTCCCCTTACATAAAATAATTTAGTATTTGCATATAACCTACACACATCTTCTTATATACTTTAAATCATCTCAAGATTACTTATAATACCTAATACAATGCATACACATCCCTTCATTTGCACAGATTCAATGCAGTACTCAGTAGAAGGCAAATTCAATTTTTACTCTTTGGAATTTTGTGAAATTTTTTGCCAAATATTTTTGATTTCTGATTGGCTGTGTCCATGGATACAGAACCCACAGAGGACCAACTGCACCTGAAAATTTGAACACCTATTGGCTAACTGATATTAAAGAATTGTCAACTTTTTTAGGTGTGATAAAGGTATTATATTTTTTAAAGAACCCTTATCTATATCTAGAGTTATACAGGTATACCTTGGAGATCTTGCAGGTTGTTTCACACTACCCTAATAAAACAAATATTGCAAAAAGCAAGTCATGCATGTTTTTTTGGTTTCTCAATGCATATAAAAGCTATGTTTGGACTATACTGCAGTCGATTAAGTATGCAATAGGATTATATCTTTAAAAATCAATGTACATCCTTAATTTAAAAATATTAATATTTTACTGCTGAAAGATGCTAATAATCATCTGTGCCTTCAGCAAGTCATAATCTTTTCCCTTTTTAAAACTTTCCAACTTTTATTTTAGATTCAGGAGGTACATGTGCAGATTATCTGGGTATACTGCATGATGCTGAGGCTTGGGGTACAAATAATCCCATCATCTGGGCTTTTCAACACTGCTCCTCTTCCCCCATCAGTAGTCCTCAGTTTCTAATGCTGTCATCTTTATGTCCATGAGTTTTACGTCCAATGTTTAGCTCCCACTCATAAGTGAGAACATGTGATACTTGATTTTCTGTTCCTGTGTTAATTCACTTAGGATAATGGCTTCAAGCTGCATCCATGTTGCTGCAAAGGACATAATTCTTTTTCATGGCTGCATAGCATGCCATGGTGCACATGTGCCACATTTTCTTTACCCAGTCTACCACCGACGGGCATCTACGTTGATTCCATGTCCTTGCTATTGTGAATCGTGCTGCAATATATAAGAGTGCATGTGTCTTTTTGGTAGAATCATTTGTTTTCTTTTGGATATATACCCAGCAATGGGATGGCTGGGTTGAGTGGTAGTCGTATTTTAAGTTCTTTGAGAAATCTTCCAATTGCTTTCCACAGTAGCTGGAACTAATTTACATTCCCACCAGCAGAGTTTATAACCATTCCCTTTTCTCTGCAGTCTTGCCAGCATCTACTGTTTTTCTGACATTTTAATACCCATTCTGCCTAGTGTGAGATAGTATCTCACTGTGATTTTGATTTGCATTTGTTTGATGATTAGTAATATGGAGCATTTTTTCATATGTTTGTTGGCCACTTGTATGTCTTCTTTTGATAAGTGTCTGTTCATGTCTTTTGCCTGTTTTTTAATGGGGTTGTTTTTTGCTTGTTCAATTGTTTTCAAGTTCCTTGTAGATTCTGGATATTGGATATCTGTCAGATGTATAATTTGTGAATATTTTCTCTCATTCTGTAGGTTTTCCGTTTACTCTGTTGATAGTTTCTTTTACGTGCAGAAACTCTTTTGTTTAATTAGGTACCACTTGTCAACTGTTTCTGTTGCAATTACTTTTGAGGACTGAGTCATAAATTCCTTCCCAAGGCAAATGTCCAGAATAGTGTTTCCTAGGTTTTCTTCTCGTATTCTTATAGTTTGAGGCATTACATTTAAATCTTTAATCCATCTTGAGTTAATTTTTGTATATGGTGAAAGGCAGCAGTCCAGTTTCATTCTTCTGCATATGGTTAGCCAGCTAACCCTGCACTGTTTTTATTGAATAGAAAGTTCTTTCCCCGTTGCTTGTTTTTATTGACTCTGTCAAAGATCAGATGGCTGTAGTTATGAAGCTTTACTTCTGGGTTCTCTATTCTGTTCCACTAGTTTATGTATCTGTTTTTGTACTAGTACCATGCTGTTTTGGGGATTGTAGCCCTGTAGTATAGTTTGAAGTTGGGTAATGTGATGCCTCTAGCTTTATTCTTTTTGCTTTAGGATTGCTTTGGCTATTAAAGCTCTTTTTTGGTTCCAATATGAATTTTAGAATAGGTTTTTTCCTAGTTATGTGAAAAAATGGCACTGGTAGTTTGATAGGAATAGTGTTGAATCTATAGATTGCTATGGGCAGTATGGTCATTTTAATGATATTGATTCTTCTAAACCATGAACATGGAATGTTTTTCCATTTGTTTGTGTCATCTAGAGTCATCTTTTCACTGGTAGAGGGTATTGCCTCATTGACGGCTGCAGACTGATCAGGATGGTGATTGTTGATGGCTGGGGTGGCTGTGGCAGTTTTAAAAACTAAAACAATGAAGTGTGCCACACGGACTGACTCTTCTTTTCACAAGAAAATTTATCTGTGGCATGCAATGTCATTTCATAGCATTTTACCCACAGTAGAACTTATTTCAAAATCGGAGTGAATCCTCTCAAACTCTGCCATTACTTTACCAATTAAGCTTATATAATACTCTATATACTTTGCTGTCATTTCAACAATGTTCATGGCATCTATACCAGGAGTAGATTCCACCTCAGGAAACTACTTTCTTTGCTCATCCGTAAGACTTCTCATCATTAGTTTTATCATGACATTGCAGCAATTAGTCATCTCTTTGGGCTATACTTCTAATTGTAGTTCTCTTGCTACTTCTCCACCTCATCTGCAGTGACTTCTTCCACTAAAGCTCTGAACCCCTCATAATCATTCATTAGGGTTGGAATCAACTTCTTCCAAAGTCCTTTTAATGCTGATATGGCAGCTATAGCCTTACAAAACGTACAGTTGACCCTTGAACAACATAGGAACTAGAGGTACTGGCCCCTCATACAGTTGAAAACTCTATGTATAATGTTTGAGTCCCCAAAAACTTAACACTAATCTAATCAGAAGCCTTACCAATAGCAAACAATTAACACATATTTTGTTTGTGTATTATATATGGTATTCTTACACTAAAGAAAGCTAAATAAAATGTTACAAAGAAAATCATAAGGAAAATCAGACGCAGTGGCACACTCATAGTCCCAGCTACTTGGAAGGCTTGAGGCAGAAGATATTGTGTCGGTACAAAAGTAATTAAAATATGGCAAAAGCTGCAATTACTTTTGAACCAACCTAAATAGCTTGAGCCCAGGACCTTAAGAGTGTAGTGCATTATGATCACACCTATGAACAGCCATTACACTCTAGCCTGGGCAACCCAGCAAGACCCCGTCTTTAAAAAATTATTAAAAAGGGCCATGCACAGTGGCTCATGCCTGTAATCCCAGCACTTTGGAAGGCAGAGGCGGGGAGGCTCACATAAGGCCTGGAGTTAGAGACCAGCCTGACCAACATGGAGAAATCCTGACTCTACTAAAAATACTAAAAAATTAGCTGGGCATGGTGGCTCACGCCTGTAATCCCAGCTACTCAGGAGGCTGAGGCACGAGAATCACTTGAGCCTGGGAGGCAGAGGCTGCAGTGAGGCTGAGGTTGCAGTGAGCTGAGATCATACCACTGCACTGCAGACTAGGTGACAAAGTGAGACTCTGTCTCAAAAAAAAAAAAAGTCATATAAAAGAGAAAATACATTTACAACACTGTACTGTGTTTACTGACACCATAAGTTTACGTCATCTTTTCACAAAATCAATTGTCTGCCTGAAATGGCAGGTGACCACAGGTGCAGACCTCAAACGACAGAACACATCAAGCAATTCAACTTTTTTTTGTAATGTCATGAGTTTTCTCTGCTTCTTGGGAGCACTTCCAGCACCACTAATGGCACTTCGTATGGGTCCCATGGTATTATTTATTCCAGGTTTACAGTATTGAATTAAGTATGATGAAAAATGAAAACTGAGACATCACTTTTTACTGAGATACACTATTTACTGGAGAGATTAACTGCTCAAGCAGAGATGATTAGTGTCACATGGGGTTTTAGGTGAATATTCACAACACTTGAACTCATTGCAATAGCAACAGGAAGTGGCTACAAAATTATTACAGTAGTATAGTATGTACCAGTTAATTTTATGCAATTACGATTTATACTGTAGCTTTTATGTTTACATTTCTTTACCTGTTGTTTACATTACTGCAAATGGTATCATGTATAGTCTATAAGCATTTGTATGCATAAGTTTTAATAAATTTTAATTTAGTATAACACATTTGTGTATATTTTATGGTAGTAAACAATATAAGACTAGCATGTACATATATTTTATGCACATGACATACCTTTTTTTTCTTTTTTCAATATATCTGGGCTACACGGTGCACATTTTTTCAAATTGTCTCAAATCTCAAAAAAAAGTTTCCACTACATATAAGTGGACCCACACAGTTCAAAAACATGTTGTTCAAGGGTCAACTCTATTTCTTAAACAAGATTTGAAAGTCAGGCTGGGCCCAGTGGATCATGCCTGTAATCCAAGCACTTTGGGAGGCTGAGATGGGTGGACTGTTTTGAGGCCAGGAATTTGAGACCAACATGGTGAAACCCCATCTCTACTAAAAATACAATAACTGGCAGGGTGTGGTGGCATACCTCTGTAATCCCAGCTACTCGGGGGGCTAAGGCACAAGAATCACTTGAACCTTGGAGGCGGGTTCTACAGGCACAAGCCACCATACCTGGATATTTTTTTTATTTTTTATAGAGACGGGGTTTGTCAAGTTGCCCAGGGTGGTCTCAAACTCCTGAGCTCAAGTAATCTGCCCATGTCTTACCCCCAAAGTGCTGGGATTACAGGCATGAGCCATTGCACACAGCCAGAATAAATGTAACATCATTCTTAGTATACGGGCTGCCAAGGCGAGCACAAATTTAACATCATTCTTAAGGGCCCTAGGATTTTCCAAATGGTGAATGAGCACTGGCTTCAGCTTGCCAGGCATTGACTTCTCTGTACCTATAGAAGTCCTAGACGGTGTCTTCTTCCAACACAAGACTGTTTAATGCACACTGAAAATCTGTTGTTTGGTGACGCCACCTTCATCAATGATCTTAGCTAGATCATCGGGATCACTTGCTGCAGCTTCTCCATCACACTCGCTGCTTCAGCTTGCACTTTCACGTTATAGACATGGTTTCTTTCCTTAAACCTCATGAACCAACCTCAGCCTGTTCCTAAGCTTTCTTCTGCAGCTTCCTCACCTCTCACAGCCTTCACAGAACTGAAGACAGTTAGGCCTTGCTCTGAATTAGGCTTTGGGTTAAGAAAATGTTGTGACTGGTTTGATCTCCCATCTAGACCACTCAAACTTTCTCCATATCATAAATAAGCCTGTTTTGCTTTCTTATCATTCCTGTGTTCAGTGGTATAGCATGTTTAATTTCCTTCAAGAACTTTTCCTTTGCATTCACAACTTGGCTAAACATTTGGTGCAAGAGTCCTAGCTTTCAGCCTATTTTGGCTTTCAACACACCTTCCTAACTAAATCATTTCTAGCTTTTGATTTAAAGTGAGAGACATGCAACTATTCCTTTCACTCGAACACTTTGAGGCCATTTTAGTTACTAATTGGCCTAAGTTTAGTATTATTGTGTCTCAAGAGTGGGAAAGAGACGGGGAACAGCTGGTCAGTGGAGCTGTGAGAACACAAACAACATTGATCGATAAAGTTCACCATTTTATATAGGTGTAGTACGTGGCACTCTGTAACAACGACAATGGTAACATCAAAGATCACTGATCACAGGTCACCATAACAGATAATTGTAATTTAAAAGTCTGAAATACGCAAGAATTACCAACATATGACAGAGGCACAAAGTGAGCACAGGCTGTTGGAAAAATGGCACCAAAAGACTTACTTGATGCAGGGTTGCCACAACCCTTCAATTTGAAAAAAAAAAAAAAAAACACATGGTACCTGTGAGGCTCAACACAGTGAAGTACAATAAAACAAGGTATGCCTGCATATTAAAATCGGATTTAAATGAAAAAATAAGTGTGAAAAAAATGAACCTAAGAGTGTACTTACAAAACAGTGATGGTATTATATATAAATGGCAAAAAAGTAAAATTATTATTATAAAAAAACTACCTACTTTGGTTACAAAGTAGCATTTATAGTATGGTCCCATTTCTGTAAAATTATATATAAATACACATGGTAGGATTTCAGGAGAACTTTTCTATTATACCTTTCTATGGTTTGTTTCTTTAAAATAATGATTATGCATATTTTAGTAATCAAAATAAGAGTGGAATTTTTTTTTTGTGGGGGAAGTAAGGTATAACATTTATCTGTTTCTCAAGAATACTTGATTATTCTGAAAGGTTTTAAATGGGCACTAGCCAAACTGTTATATCTATGTTTAAAAAGTGGCTCAATTCTGTATCTAAAGTACAGTAACAACAGACCCAGCCTTTGTTACAATGTATTCCATGAATGCCAGAAAGCTGCCTAAGGTCAGACAGGGACTGAAGGAAGGTAGGGCAGTGACAATAACCTACCTGGAAGTGAGCGCACAAATGACCTTGCTCCACTGCTCCACCACTGCTGGGTGATGCCTCCAGTTAGCCACCATCTCCTTGGCTGTTTTCCAATAAGGAGGTGTTGGGAAGCACCGAGTACAAGCTAGTAACCACACCTCAAAGAGAACACCAATCAACTTCTCTGCTAGATTCTCAGCAATGCCACCTTACCAACGAAAAGAAAACACATCTTTGGCAAACTTATTTTTAAAGCAGAATCTTTAAGTCACTGATGTGGGAGAACTGGTCAAAAAATTAAAGTAAGTGCAATGTTAAGTTTTGACTTTCAAATAATCATTTAATAGTAAAAATGAGAAGTAATGCTTAGGAGTTCCTGTGCCCCAAATCATAGATACATCAAAAAATTTCTACTTTGAAAGATTTCAAGTTGTCCTGTTCAATTCTTATTGAAGGCCTTAATCCTCCAGCAAGGGGGACAGGCGGACACAGGGGAGAAGGTAAAGGATGACTGACTATGATGACTGACTACTATGAGTCAGTTTCTATGCCAAATAGTTCATACAAATGACCTCATATAATCCTCACATTAATTCTGCAGGATAGGTATCTGTAATACCTAATACCAACTACTAATTATATCCATTTTGAAGATGAGAAAACTTAGATTCGGAGAGTTTAAGCAACTTCTTCAACTTCATGCAGCCAGTAAGTGAAGGAATCACAACAAACACCCATGTCTTTTTACCTCCAAACTTTGCCATACAATGCTCCAAGTATTTGAAAGCCACCCTTCAAGGTGGGGAGAGAGAGAGAGAAAGACAAATAATGGAGCAAAAGGACTGGTGTTGGGAAGGACAGAGCCTTAACCATGAAAATGGGCTGTTCCCCTGTTCTAAGTCCTGGAACCAGGTGGAAAAATAGCAGTGGTCTTTACACTGCACAGCTTCAGAAGGCAAAGTTGGGACTCACAGGAAAAGTTATAAGAATGTGTGTTTCAAATGAGCAAAACTAAAGTTTCAACAACAAAGAGCCCAAGAAGGGGATGAATTGTCTGCCTCATGCTGTTGAGATCCCTGGAATGAGGAGTAAGCAATAGAGAGCTGATGAATCAATGACTGGCCAGCTATTGTCAATACCAGACAGAGTATTCCTATCAACGCATCCCTTCCCACACTGAAATTCCATGCTTCCTTTTAGCTATTTCCCTGAACACTGCATCTGTGTGAGAACACAAGCACAGTCACGTGTGTTAGTAAACAGAGTATACCGATGAATAAGCAACAAGAGAACTTGGAACTACATGATCAACTTATAGTTTATATACATTGTGCTATATACAAAGCAGGGATTCTGAAATACACTGTAAAGTCATAAAACTGGAGGCATTTTAATGGCTAGCTAATGAATGGCAAACTGGCACACTTCCAAATAGAACAGTTAGAAGACTTTGGAAGTTTCATTTGCTGAGTAAAATATCTTCTGTCACTATCAAGTTTTCAGACTCTACTTTGATAACTACTTTGTAATACCATTATCTATAGGCTCTAATTTAATTGGTTAGTTGTTTCTTTTTTTTCTTTTTCTTTTTCTTTTTTTTGAGACAGTGTCTTACTCGTCGCCCAGGCTGGAGTTCAGTGACACGATCTTGGCTCACTACAACCTCCGCTTCCCAGGTTCAAGCAATTCTCCTGCCTCCGCCTCCTGAGTAGCTGGGATTACAGGCGTCCACCACCACACCTGGCTAATTTTTGTACTTTTAGAAGGGATGGGGTTTCACCATGTTGGCCAGGCTGGTCTCGAACTCATGACCTCAGGTGATCCGCCTGCCTCGGCCTCTCAAAGTTCTGGGATTACAGGTGTGAGTCACCACGCCTGGCCAGTTGTTTCTTATATAGGCTCTATCCTAACTTTTTTTTTTTTTGAGACAGAGTTTTGCTCTGGTTGCCCAGGCTGGAGTACAACAGCATGATCTTGGCTCACTGCAACCTCTGCCTCCTAGGTTCAAGTGATTCTCCTGTCTCAGCCTCCCAAGTAGCTGGGATTACAGGCGTCCACCACCACGCCCGGCTACTTTTGGTATTTTTAGTAGAGATGAGGTTTCACTATGTTGGCCAGGCTGGTCTCAAACTCCTGACCTCAGGTGATCCCACCCACCTTGGCCTCCCAAAGTGCTGGAATTATAGGCGTGAGCCACCGCGCCCGGCCTATCCTATTAAATGAGCTACTGTTTCCACCATTATCAAACATGCATAATTCACTGAGTCCCTCCCTATATTAGCAAAATTATTACCGAAGATAAAATAACTTCATTAGTGCTAAAGTTATATTGTGCCTGAGGGTTTCCATTCTAAGAACTGTTCATCTTTGTTTGTAAACCATTATGTCAAAATTTAAATCCCCAATGAGTCTACCACTCACTGAGTTTAAAGATGAACTGTATTTGGAGCTCAGAAATAAATCAGAAAAATAAATAAATAAATAAACAAACCTTGAACAGTTGGTGGGGCCAGAAGTATGTCATTAATCTGCAGAAGAAACAACAGTAAGACTTCCCAGGTTTCTCGGGCCATGAGAGATGACTCACGGGCCAGTTTCTGAATGGCTCTCAGGACCTGTAAGCATAGTCGAATCTGACTGGAACCCTGTTCCTGTCTGAAGAAGATAGACAGATATCACTGGCAAGCCTGAAGAAGAGACAGCAACAGCTTCAGGACAGGTGACTTATGGATGTGGCAAGCAGTGGTCCAGTGAAGCTCCCTAATATTATCAGCAGAGAGGGCTAGGCATACCATCTTCAGTTTAAAGCTACTTCTTACTCATCGTAAAGTTCAGCACTCTGGGTTCTAAACCTACCACTCCTATGAGAACTGGAAAGCTTCTGGGAGGAAGGCGGGAATACTAGAATATAAACTTCATTTCTGGATTTTCTATGTCTAACACATGCCTAACATATAATAGCAGGCACTCAATAGGTTTTTGTTGAATTAACAAGTAAATACCCACAGCCACCCTTGCTGCTTACATTTAAGCAGAACGACCTTGGTATTCTTGTTTAATTTTTAAAAACACATATTTGCAAGAATTCTACATGTGAATTTACAGTGCTCATAGTCCCTCTGAAGCTAAGGTCTATTAGAGAAGGGCCTAAGGGCCAGAAGGAATAGCCTAATAGGTCCCCAAAATTGATGAGGTATGTAGGCATTGCTTCAGAAATAAATACCTGCTACTGCTGCTCTAATTTTAGAAAAAGACACGTAGCCAGAGATGGAGGCTCCAAGGTTCCCAGGATACCCTGGAACAACAGTTTTAAAACTCACTGCAGGACTGTTTTTCCCAAGGGAAATCTCATAAAGAAGAATTATCTATATAACAGATCAAAGTATTTTGGCTAGGACTGAGGATGAAGATAGAGGTCCAGGCCCGAGCCCTTACCCTCACTTTCCAAAGTAGAACAGTGAGAATTTTGAGAATAGCAGGAAATCCACTGTATTAGCAAGTGGTAAGCTGGCCTCCAGATCTCTTATGGGAAACCCAAAAAAAGTATCTAATATTACTGAAATAAGTCTTGAGGCCAAGTTTCTACATATTGTCATTTGTCACAAAGAACTGATAGAAACATATCTGAATCAGACTGGGGAGTTTCCTCAAGAAATTCCAGAAAATGAAGTGAGTTCCCTTAGAACTGTCAACCCAACCTTAGAATAGAGATTCTCAGATTCTGGGCTATGATGCGGAAAACCGGTCACTTACCCTAGAGTTGAAAGCAAATGACACCACTAAGTTTTCCCTAAAGAAGTCACACCTAAAGCAAAATGATGAGAAAATTGCCTAGGAAGAGCCAAGCACCCTCAGGAGTGGGGAGATGTTCCACATTCAGCTAAAGGTGGATCTAGTCCAGGTAAAGCCCTAAGGTTCAAGCTTGTGTCTACTGCTCTGGCTTACTTGAAGAAGAATAAAAAACTACGGCCAGGCGTGGTGGCTCAAGCCTGTAATCCCAGCACTTTGGGAGGCCGAGACGGGCAGATCACGAGGTCAGGAGATTGAGACTATCCTGGCTAACATGGTGAAACCCCATCTCTACTAAAAAATACAAAAAACTAGCTGGGCAAGGTGGCAGGCGCCTGTAGTCCCAGCTACTGGGGAGGCTGAGGCAGGAGAATGGCATAAACCCGGGAGGCGGAGCTTGCAGTGAGCTGAGATCTGGCCACTGCACTCCAGCCTGGGCGACACAGCAAGACTCCATCTCAAAAAAAAAAAAAAAAAAAAAACTATATCATAGCCCCAAACCTAATCAAGTAATGTAAGAGGAAGTCCAGAATAAGAAATAAAAATACCACTAATGGCCCTGGAACTGACACTCTTCCAAGAGTGCATGCCTCCTACATGGTAATTTAGGCCTACCTACCATTTCCAGGCCTACCTACCATTTCCTGTCCAATGACAGGAAAGGAAATACCTGTTCCTCAGGTACTGAGGCTCCTCCTCACTCAGAAGGCCTAAATTCAGATGCAGGGTCCAAAGTTCTAAAGCTAACAAGGTAACCTTTACATAAAAACAAACAGAAGAGCTAAACACCAGAGATCTCCTTTTCAAAAATATCAAGTTACTTTTTAAAAAGTAACTTGTGATCTTCAGAAAAACTGCTTTAGAACAGTGGTGGTGAATGATGGCCAATGGGTCAAATCTGGCCTGCTATCTTTTATTGTAAACAGAGTTTACAAATCTGGCCTACTATCTATATTGTAAGTGAAGCTGTATTGGAACACAGTAATGATCACTCATTCACATACTGCCTATGGCTGCTTTCATGCCATACCAGCAGAACTGAGTAATTACAACACTATATAACCCACAAAACCTAAAATGCTATCTGGCTCTTTGTTAACCCTGCTTTAGAACAATAATATGTTTTTTTAAAGTACAGTATAGTATATGTGAGCAATTAAAACCTTAATCACCTTTAAAAGGTGATTTACTCTTCGCTCAATCATAAAAAAAAAAAAACTGATGGGCAAAACAGAACGGTTACATTCATTCTGACATAATCTCTAGCAAAATGGTAAAGGCAGTTCCCTCCATTTTGAGTGTCAGTTTTTATAAAAACAACCAATTGAGTAAACTTAGATGACAGTTTTGTGAACTATCAGAATCAAATAAACAACTAAAACTTCAAATAATGGGAGATGAGATCGTAACACCAATACTTAGCATTGAAAATATTCAGCTAAGTTTCCTAAAACATTAGCCAGGAAGAGAACTCTAATTCTCAGTTGAGTAGCCTCTCAGAATTTACTAACACTTATGCATGCACACTTTTGAGAAAACAAGGTAATTACCAAATAGCAAAACCATTTATAAGGTAGTCATGTATCTCAAAAGAGAAAAAGCAAAGGCACAAGCCTAATTAACTCAAATGCCATTAATTTTTTTTCATCAATACAAATTAGCTGAGCACTGAGAGGCAGCAGGCTTACAAAGAGGAAAGAGACACAGTGACAATACTACTCATGAGACTATCGCAGGCATGAAGAAAAAGCCCAGTAGTCTCCTAAAAAGATAACAAGAAAGTATTAAAACTATTATATCATTTTAGAAGAACCTGCTTATAAACAATATTCTAAGTACTCCCAACTGTTTCCTGTTTTTTTGTTGTTGTTGTTTGTTTGTTTTGTTTGAGACAGAGTCTCACTCTGTTGCCCAGGCTGGAGTGCAGTGGTGCGATCTTGGCTCACTGCAACCTCCGCCTCCCAGATTCAAGCGGTTCTCCTGCCTCAGCCTCCCATGTAGCTGGGATTATAGGCACATGCCACCACGCCCGGCTACGTTTTGTATTTTTAGTAGAGACAGGGTTTTGCCATGTTGGCCAGGCTGGTCTCGAACTCCTGACCTCAGGTGATCCACCTGCCTCAGCCTCCAAACGTGCTGGGATTACAGGCATGAGCCACTGTGCCCAGCCTATTTCCTGTTTTTAATTCCATTTGAAATCAATAAATACAAGCAACACGCATTTAATTCACACCTATGGTAAGTATTAAGTACTAAAATACCAGTACTGCACCAGATACTGTGGAAGCCTAAAATAGAGACAACACAGTTCCTGCCTTCAAGTTGGTTAGATCGGGAAAGGAGACACACATTTTAAAAGATAAGCAACAAAACAGCAAGAGATACAAGAGTGATACAGAAAGTATCACATAGGTTCAGAGAAGGTGTGAGCGCTGTGGGCCTGAGTGGTTAGGTAGGACTTCTCCTCACAAGGTGGAACTAAAGAACCAACAAGAATGAGATGTGGTGATGGAGAGAAGGAGGAGGAAGAAGACAAAAAGACATCATGACGGGAAAGATCTTTAAGAGGTCTTAGAGGAATGTCTGACTTATGAGTCTGACTAAACAGCAGCATTCATGCAGAATTAAGAACAGCTAGTTTGGTTAGAGGCCAGACTACACCAGGCATTTCATGCATGGTATGCTGTTTACACCTGAGCCAACAGACCAGAGTTCCGGAGAGTTCTCTTTTTTAATTCAGATTTTCCAAAGTAATCTTCCTTCTATATTTAGAAAGTTAAAAACTTACAGAGCTGGTTTTCAAAGTCCCTCACTGTATGACAGAGCAAAAGCTCTAACCAGAACTTTACCAAAGGGAGATTGCCCTACTGCTCCTTGAAGGTATCCTACATTATGATATTTAAGGCCTTTGCCTAAGAGGATAGAAAAAAAGTTAGAAACAAACTATCAAGAGTAATCTTTTGGCTTACTATAAAGTTGCCCATAATTGTTTCAAGGGTCTTCATTCTCTCATAGGAAAGATGCCTCTTAAGGTAGATACATCTCCCTTAGTTGTGTTTAGCCTAAATGGAAACAAGAATGTGACAGGCAAAAGTATATATTTTCTTGAGTAGAAGGGAAAGATGTTACAGTATTTTAATATCTAAGAGGTATGAGATTTTAGAAGCAAAGCCAAAAACTTGTAAAGAGCACATACCTGTTAAAAACACCTAGTAAACATTACATAAGCCCATCTTTCCTAACATTCACATTAATACAATCTTTAATTGAACACACGAAGTCACTGTTCAGAGGACTAACAATGAAATCAGCTCCTATACTATAGTAACATTTATGAATATTTTACTATGCCCCTGATAATGGGCCAGATAGACAGGTACAGCTTACCTTGGTACAAAAAGATTTTGTAGGTGTTTTAGTATACTTTGAACATATTGATTAGGCTCTTTAATAACTGGCAATGGAATAGAATCTTTCGGCAACACTAAAGCCATAATCCAGTCTGTATATACATCAACGCAATATTTTACAGTCTCTCCATCCAATGGAAGGGTCAGTCCATAGCAAATTACTTCCATGGTCCATTTTACCTAGACAAAAGAAAATATCCATACAGAATTATTATACATGCCTATCTCAGTAGACTGATTTAAAATGTCAATCTCTTTTATTGCCAAAAGCCTCTAAATTGATATTCATCTCAATGTAAGTATCAGATTTATTTTAGATAATGCATTTTTCACATATCCAACATACAATTTCCCAAGCAAAAGATTTAAGAAGAAAATAAATTACTTATTTTTGACTATCAATCCTATGCTGGTTTTTGCCCTTTAGATATTATTATTATTTGCTCTGTGAATTAAAAAGTAAATACAGGTCACTTCAATTTTCCAGAGATTAGAGACACAAAAATCAAACATTTTAGAGTTTTTTCTCCACTTATGTGTAGCATTTAGAAAATCATATAAAGTCAGTCACATTCCATCTCCAGATTATGCAAATGAACAAACAAGAAGAAAGATGAACTGTTTGACTCTTATTTTACAACTGTTTCCTCTGCCCCCCCCAAAAAAAAAACTAAAAATGAAGAACAAACACAGCTGAGAAAGGACTGAAGCTGGGTAAGATCTTAGCAAGGCATTTAGCCGCACTGAATGAGTCCCTGCCTCCTGACCTAGCTGAATCACATCCTAAGGACTGACAGAACTTGCCTAAGAGACTGCTGAACCACTAGGCTGCCTGCAGTCATAACTGTAGAGATTAAATAATCTGGCCCAAGTCACTGGTTTATAAAAGGTAGAGCTGAAAACTTGAATCCTGGTCTTCCAACTAGAAGGTACCACTGGACAACTTTTTCCAAAATGACTTTGGCACATTAGTCTACTATTATTCTGTCATGTGGTATCTGGACCAGTTACAAATCCAGCCATTCTACCATCATCTGAGCTATATGTCACCATCTATGAGAAACCCCAATTTGCAAAAAAAAAAAAAAAGGAGGAAACTGTATTCCAGACATTGCAAACTGGAAAGTTTAAGTGAATTCCAGACAAAACTTTGAGACAAATTACCAAGCAATCAGTGAACACTTACAAAAGAGAAGCATGATTACCAAGACCCAGCCTGCTCAAAAAAATCAAGTCATGCCAAATGAGCTTCACTCCTTTATTAACAGGGTTACTATTTAGAGGGCTGACAATGGTGTAGTCCTTGCAGTTTACAAAGCACTTTCATAAATATCATCTAGCCATCACAATAACCCTGTGTAGACAGGGCAAACTATCCTTACTTTATACATAAGAAAACAGAAGCTTAGCAAGATTACGCAATTTGGCACAAGTCACTGGTTTATAAAAGGTGGAGCTGAAAACTTGAACCCTGGTCTTCCAACTAGAAATTTGAAGCTATTCTCACCATGCCATTAACAGAGTTCTCCGGCAAATGGGTATCTGGGTGTTAGCAAGAAATCTGGGCAGCCCCAGGATCTCCTTGTGGACAAGATGGAGACATATGGCCCAGAGGATGGTAGAATGGCTAGATTTACAACTGGTCAAGATACCACATTACAGAGTAACAACAGATTAATGTGCCAAGATCATTTTGGCAAAAGGTGCTCAGTGGCATGCCAAAGGCTCTGCCAAGATTTTAACTTAGGGGGAAAAAAAAGAAAAACAGTGCATGCTGATCATCTGTAGATATCACAAAGCTAAAAAGGATGGCCAACTTGCTGGACAGAAATTCAGGATTCAAAAAGACTTCAACGGCTTAAAACCAAAGTTAAATCTAATAAGATAAATATATATATTACATTTTTTAAGCTCAAAAGCAACTACAAAGGTTAAGGGTAGGAAATATATGCTTTAACTGCAATAAGTGTTAAAGAAGCCTATAACAGCACAGTGAAACTGTGACAAATTTGGAGCAGGGTGTAGCAAGATTTAGCCACATAATAGAAGAGATTCTAAAAGACATTGCAGGTCCCTGATTATCAGATGAAAAACCAAGAAGATATCTTTGGTGGCATCTTCACACAATCATTTAATTTTATAATTCTAGGCCGGACATAGTGGCTCACACCTGTAATCCCAGCACTTTGGGAGGCCGAGGCGGGTGGATCACCTGAGGTCAGGAGTTCAACACCAGCCTGGCCAACATGTCAAAACCCTGTCTCTACCAAAAATACAAAAATTGGCCAGGTGCAGTGGCTCACACCTGTAACCTCAGCACTTTGGGAGGCCAAGGTGGGCGGATCACCTGAGGTAGGGAGTTCAAGACCAGTCTGGTCAACACAGAGAAACCCCCGTCTCTACTAAAAAAAAAATACAAAATTAGCCGGGCATGGTGGCGCATGCCTGCAATCCCAACTACTCGGGTGGCTGAGGCAGGAGAACTGCTTGAACCTGGGAGGCAGAGGTTGCGGTAAGCCAAGATCACGCCTTTGCACTCCAGCCTGGACAACAAGAGCAAGACTCTGTCTCAAAAAATAAATAAATAGGCCGGGCTCGGTGGCTCACGCCTGTAATCCCAGCACTTTGGGAGGCTGAGGTGGGCAGATAACAAGGTCAGGAGATCAAGACCATCCTGGATAACACGGTGAAACCCTGTCTCTACTAAAAATACAAAAAATTGCCAGGCATGGTAGCAGGGCGCCTGTAGTCCCAGCTACTTGGGAGACTGAGGCAGGAGAATGGTGTGAACCCGGGAGGCGGAGCTTGCAGTGAGCCGAGGTCATGCCACTGCACTCTCGCCTGGGTGACAGAGCAAGACTCTGTGTCAAAAAAACAAAACAAAAAAAGGTGTAATTCTAGAGGACACAGGAATTCTCATCCCTTTTCAAGGGTGAGAAAGGAGAAAAACCAGGGCTACACCAGAGCACCTCCATCTACTCATGTACCATCTCATCCCAGGAGAAGGCAACAAGGGATCACAAACACACCAGGAGGAGAGGCACTAGGGTCTGTGCTAGTCCTCAGGGATAAATCTAGGGTCCTCTGAAGAGAGAAAAATGTTCCTCAGACTGAAGACCTTTACTCTTCAGAGACCCATGGCTGAGGGAGGATAACTGCCCCTAGAGCTACAAGTTTTAGTCTTATATCTAAGTCTAATCTCTCCTTCACAGGAAACCAAAAACCAAACAGAAAAAAAGGGTCTGAGACATAGGGTACAGGTTTTGCTAAACGTGAAGCCTGAAGGTTACATGAGCTTCTTCAAGACAAGGGACAAAGTTTTAATCCTGCGTCTTAGCCAGAATTTATACTAGCAAGCTCCTCTACTACTCCATTCTCAGGGCCCCTTCACAACTTCCCAATAGCAACTTTTTAACTTCAGCCTACGCCGCTGAACCCAGGAACAAAGGGCCAGCTTCAGGGCAAGCCATTCCACGAGCCCCTAGCTTTAGAAACAGTAAACACCCAGCCTGGGCAACATAGTAAGAACATCCCTATAAAAATTTTTTTTTTTTTTTTTTTTTGAGACGGAGTCTCGCTCTCGCCCAGGCTGGAGTGCAGTGGCCGGATCTCAGCTCACTGCAAGCTCCGCCTCCCGGGTTCACGCCATTCTCCTGCCTCAGCCTCCCGAGTAGTTGGGACTACAGGCGCCCGCCACTGCGCCCGGCTAGTTTTTTGTATTTTTTAGTAGAAACGGGGTTTCACTGTGTTAGCCAGGATGGTCTCGATCTCCTGACCTCGTGATCCACCCGTCTCGGCCTCCCAAAGTGCTGGGATTACAGGCTTGAGCCACCGCGCCCGGCAAAAAATTTTTTTTTAATTAGCCTGGCGTGGTGGCACGTGTCTGTAATTCCAGCTACTTGGGACTCACTGGGATGGAAAAATCATTTGAGCCCAGAGAGACCGAGGCTGCAGCGAGCTGTGGTCATGCCACTGCATACTAGCCTGAGTAACAAAGCAAGACTCTGTGTTAAAAAAAAAAAAAACAGCAAACACAACCCCAATTCCAATCACCTAGGCTTAGGCCAGAAGGGCTTGGCTTCTCTGCAGCACTCTTAAACCTGGAAGTCAGAAAGGGGTAGGTAGGTATGGGGACAAGGGAGAGCTTAAGCACAGCATACGCATAGCCTGAAAACTCGACATGAGTCTTCAGTCAGGGGCCATCTAGAGGTAGGGATGAGGTCTTCCAACCACACTCTAAATGGAAATCAGAAGACTAAGCCTAGAGCTTTGGGGAAAGGGTTTGACATTCAAGTCCCTGTCTTGGCCTTTAGCTTAAGTGGAGAATTCACCATAACTAGTAAAAAGTCCCAAGAGCAAAACAGTACAACTCATTCCTTACAACCTCCACAAACTCCGAGTCCCAGCCCTCAACTCAAACAAGATCAAAATTGAGAAGTCATACTACGTTGGGCAGAAATCCATTAAAAAGCTGACGTTATTCTACTACAGCTCTTTTCAAAGAAAAAAGAACAAAAAAGTTAACATTAAACAAATTCTTCAAGAACAAATGTACATTTTCATATAAGAGAATGAAATTTAGAAACACTTACTTCTTTGTCAGTTTTTAACAAACTCTCACTACCAGCCACTGAAGGGGTACCTAACACCTGCCCAAGAGGACGGACTACAGCATTTGCCACCTCTCGTCCAACACTCTCTGGATAGCTGTGCAGCACACTGGTATGGCCTTGATCATTCTGAATCACCAAATGCAGTGACCTCCACTCAGAGTACATCGTGCCACTAAAGTACAATCCAAATGGCACCTGAAAAGACAAAACAGAAATGCATGTCAAATTATACTACTGGAAATTAACAGAAATAAATAGAACAGATGTATAGACTTTCGGCATGATAAAGAATGCTGCAAACATCTTGCCTCTGAAGACAGAAAAAATATATCTAAATGTTTTGAGAATATCCCAGAACCTCAGGGTAAGATTAGGTAGGAAGGCAGAACCTGCAGCTCTCTGAGCACCTCCCCAAAAGAGCCCTCGGAAGCCCTGGGGCAGAGCTGGAGAAGATGGCCATTGGGCAGGGGAATAACATGATTAGATATGGGACATTCACAGCATGAGGGAACCCTCCACATGGTTCCAGGACAGAAAAACATGGGAGAATGGAATGTCCTAAGTAGGAAGGGGAGACAACGGAGAACTTACTAAGACCCAGGTTTTCAGTCAACAGTTTCAGAGTACCTACTATCTGCTGAATACATATCCCTACAATTTCTCAGCACTGTCCTCAAATTACACTTAAAAATTCTTTGAGACTGTTTCATTCTCTGAAACAGTGGTGCTGAAACTACCAGCACTGGAACACTGGGAAGTCACAGTGTTCTTTAGGAAACATATTAAGAGCTGCCACTTATTAAGCATTTAATACATACTACTCATATAATCACTAAAACAACCCTATGAATATTCAGTAACACTATCCCTATTTCACAGATGAAAAACTGGAGCATAGAGAGGTTTGCTTCTTACCTGAAGCTTTAAAGTTATAACATGGTAGAGCTGGGTTTTTTTGTTTTTGTTTTTTTGAGACGGAGTCTTGCTCTGTTGCCCAGGCACACTGGAATGCAGTGGCGGCCATCTCAGCTCATTGCAACCTCCGCCTTCCAGGTTCAAGCAATTCTCCTGCCTCAGCCTCCCAAGTAGCTGGGATTACAGGCGCCCGCCACCACGCCCGGCTAATTTTTGTATTTTTAGTAGAGAAGGGGTTTCACCATGTTGGCCAGGCTGGTCTCGAACTCCTGGCCTAAGGTGATCCACTGGCTTTGACCTCCCAAAGTGCTGGGAATACAGGCGTGGGCCACCGCACCCAGCCAGAGCTAGGCTTTGAACCCACATCTGTTGGGCTCCAGGGCATATGCTCTTAGCCATGATACGTGCTGTCTCTCCCTATTCTAAACACTCTCCAATGCAGGTACTTCTGCCTATTCTGTACACGCTCCATAAAATGATATCTAAGTCTACTGCACATAGGAGGGACATCAGCTGCAAGAAAACATATCTGTATGAATGCAATGTAAATATTACAACCATAAATCCCATACTCATAAAGAGGATAAATGATGGTTAGCCCTCTCCAATTCATTTCTGTTAACTTCCACTTTCTACTTGTTCTGAAATCTGCCCAGCGAGCAGTTTAAGCAAACTCAAGGTTATAATTAATCTTTAAAAAGTTCTATCCCTAAAAGTTACCTTTTCCTCAAACTGGGAAGAGATTAGCATTGTTTAATTTTATCCTGAGAAACCTTATCCCAGCTCACCAAACATCAAGAGCTTATGACATTTTTCTAAGACTAACTCTATTTAAGTATAAAGAAAAAATTTTAAAGAATTTTTTAAAAAAGAAGAGCATATCGCAGGGCACGCTGGCTCATGCCCGTAATCCAAGCACTTTGGGAGGCCAAGGCAGGCAGATCACAAGGTCAGGAGTTTGAGACCAGCCTGACCAATATGGTGAAACCCTGTCTCTACCAAAAATACAAAAATTAGCCAGGTGTGGTGGCGGGCGCCTGCAGTCCCAACTACTCGGGAGTCTGAGGTAGGAGAATGGCGTGAACCCGGGAGGCGGAGATTGCATTGAGCCAAGATTGCGCCACTGCTCTCCAGCCTGGGTGACAGAGCGAGACTCCGTCTCAAACAAACAACAACAAAAAAAGCATATGACATTTGAGAATCACAGAGCTACAGAATGAAAATCAAACTCTTTAGTATGAGAGTCAAAGTCATTCACAGTGTGGTCCCAAACTACCTTTCTTTCTCCTTTCCATACACAGGAATCCATATACTTTCCCTCTCATCCGATTCAATCTACTCAGCTTCCTCTGGAGTCTGAGGGACTCTAGGCCCGGGTACCCTTCAGTGACCCTATAAGGATCCTGTAATCTCCTCCCTCCTCTTCCTCCTCCTCTGGATCTTTCTCTGAAAACGGGAAGGCAGGAGGAATGGGCCATCATCTAATAAGGCACCCACAATTCAAAGGAAGAACAGATGCATCTGACTACTAAAATTGCCTCAGTTGCCTCATGATGTATAAGGAATTCCCCCAAGGATATCCTGGTGTCCCTCTGAAATAAGCACTCTCAACAATATAAGGGGGGAAAGGGAAAGTTCTGATAGAGAGCCATCACCATCAAAAGACAACTGATTCCTACACGTTTTTTCCTTGCTTTTTAAATTTAACATATATACACATAAATACTTATGTGTATACTACATATATATACATATAGTATAAATATATACATACTGTATAGTCTCTTATACAAATGCATAAGAATATTATACTACAGGGGTTTTAGTTTTAGTGTGGTTTTACATCCTTTTCATTTTTTGTTAGGTGTCATCCCCTGTCCAAATAATTTACTTCATGAACAGACAATCCTGTTAACATCTTAACATTCCCTCCTGTATTTTGTGCCACTCAAAACTTTTTTTTTTTTTTTTTTTTTTGAGACAGAGTCTCGCTATCACCCAGACTAGAGTGCAGTGGCATAATCTTGGCTTACTGCAACCTCCGCCTCCCGGGTGCAAGGGATTCTCCTGCCTCTGCCTTCCAAGTAGCTGAGATTACAGGAGCATGTCACCACGCGCAGCCAATTTTTGTATTTTAGTAGAGATGGGGTTTCACCATGTTGGCCAAGCTAGTTTCAGGCTCCTGACCTCAAGTGATCCACCCATCTTGGCCTCCCAAACTGCTGGGATTTCAGGCATGGGCCACTGCACCCGGCCTCAATCATATTAAAATAACTTACATACATGCATAGCTACAGATTGTACAGGTACCTCATGAACATCCTTCTAATTAATAACAGATTCGTTTTAATGGCTAGATAATTTTCCATGGCATTTGTGTGGCCTAATTTACTCAACCAGTCTCCTAATGATATGCATTCACTTCATTCCCCATTTTTTTGTCACCAGGAAATAATGATGCAATAAACATACTTGTTAACATACCCTTAAGAAGCAGCAGCCTTTTTACTTCTGTGGAATAAGTTCTCGAGTTAAACTGCTAGATAAAAGGGTACATGTATTTTTAATATTATTAGGTCTTACCAGATTGCTTCCCAAAAAAACCCGTAACAATTCCCGTTTACATTAGGAACAGATAAGAGCCATTCTCTCATTTCACCCCCTCCCTGCTAGAAATCAGCATTATTTATTTATTTGTCAACTTGATAGGTATAAAATAAAATTTCATTGTTCTAGCCAAAGATTTATTTTACAGCTTCCGGTCTTGAGTCTGGCTTAGAAGGTTTTACCCTCCCCTGGGAGGCCGAGACGGGCGGATCACAAGGTCAGGAGATCGAGACCATCCTGGCTAACACGATGAAACCCCGTCTCTACTAAAAAATACAAAAAACTAGCCGGGCCAGGCACGGTGGCTCAAGCCTGTAATCCCAGCACTTTGGGAGGCCGAGACAGGCGGATCACGAGGTCAGGAGATCGAGACCATCCTGGCCGACACGGTGAAACCCCGTCTCTACTAAAAAATACAGAAAACTAGCCGGGCGAGGTGGCGGGCGCCTGTAGTCCCAGCTACTCGGGAG